AGCATTTTGAAGACGTTGCGAAAGACCATGGTAGGTAGACGGTTCAGCTGCGGATGGAGCTACTTCACGATGGCTGGACTACATGTCGCCGACATTAACCGCTCTTCAACTTTCCATGAGCTGTCATATCACACGGCGTTGTCTATTCACAATGGGTTTCCTGCTGCAGGGCGAAAGACCATGTTCTTGGCGCACCGAGGCTGCAATGCGATAATGGCGAGCTGGCCCAACATGAGCACAAAATCTGATTGATCGACGCGTGGCATCTTACGCCGTCGAAAAAGGGACTGCTGCGCTCATCGGAAATGGAGAATTTAAACTCTGCACGGGTGAAACGATGCATCGGAATCCCCGTCCCTGGCTTCGCGTGTCCCATCAGATGCCGGGAATATGCTGGCACTTCGACCGCTTAGCGGCATGCTACTGCTGTCCGTCAGCGAAGAAGAAGAGGGCGCAAACTCATCAGACCGCTGATCAAGACCTAGGGCCAGATCCTTCCATCCCACTACGAATGACAGCGTTTTGGTGCCTTCTTCGCAACGACACGTTCATGGCCTTCAGCATCAAACAAGGTCTTCCCCAGCGGACGTTCGTGGTCCTCATACTGTCTTCCGATGTCCATCGTCATTCAAAGAGTTTTTCATCGCATACCCGCACTTCGCCAGACTTTTCCCAAACCATACACGGAGAGCTCGTCTTGTCATGCTGCGAACGGAAGATGCACAGCAGACCAGGGAGCTTGATCTAGAATTGCCCACAGGACGCGCAGCTTGGCCCGTTTCAGATTGAGTGCAACCACCTGTGGGATTGAGGCGAGGGCACAAGAAGCCATTGTTGCCAACAAACGGGATGCCCTTTTGGGGGACGCGCGTGGGAGGCTGCAGCAATATGCAGGTTACTTGGACTGAAGCGGCGCGGTTGGCGGCACCCGCATACAGCTGCATGGGCCCTGGTCGATTTTCCTGGGATAATCTGCATATCCGTCTTGATTGCGACCCTGTGAATGCAGTTCGGGATGAAGGTTAGCGGTAGACCTTGACTCGGTCGTTCTGCAGATTGGACATTTCACGACTCCCCGCCAAGTCACTGACGATGTGAAAGCCAGCGGCCTTGAAAAAGGCCGACGCGACCACGAAACGGCATACATTCATCAACGCACACAATGTCGCTTGATATGCGATCGAATACCTTCTGAGTCATTCCATGTTGCTCCCTTAGAGGGGTTCTTGAGCCCTGTTCTGAACGCGGCAGGTCGTGGCTCACGGGTACCTTTCTCGGGCCTGAGACACGGCCAGCCACGCTCGTTTTTGTTGCTCATGAGGGTCCCGAGATCTGACTTGAAGTGGTTCAAGTGACGGCGCCCTGATCTCACCGCTACAAGACTGAGACATGATCGAGAATGACACAGCCTCTGGGGTATCCCCAATCGCATAAGCGCCGGCTGGCCAGTCAAGCTTAGAGACAAATTCACGGCCTTGAGCCAACGACAGATTAAATCGAGACCCGTTCGAACATATGTATGAGCAGGCACATATCCGCCTCGGCACCGCACCGCTCGATTCGCTTCCACCAGTTGATGCTCATACAGCAACCACTAATACCATTGAGATCGCCTATTTTTCCTATGCTAATGCGACTACTTTTCCTGTGTACTTGGTGACTTTGATAAGGACGACGACGGGGGACGACGGCGATAGACGATGATAATAGGGAACGAAGACGAAGAACGCAGACGATAGACGACGATGACAGTAACAATAACAGTAGCGACTACAACCGCAACGACCATAGAGAGCACACAGGAAAAGTAGTCGCTCTAGCACGGGAAAAATAGGCGATCTCATACCATTGATGGAGTGAAGCGAAACGATCCGCAACCTGCCAACTTTGCTGGTGGTAGTGTTGCGCCAGATGATGCTACATGGCGGGGGCGACAGCTTGAAGTTGGCCCTAGATCTTATCTGGGGTGGTCCCTGTTGACCGCTGGCTGTGTGAAGCTCCATCAACGGCCATCGTGACGGCACCGTCTCTGTACCTGGCAGCCAACCTCCAGATCTTCCGCGGCTTCCCAAAAGTGAAGCTGCACGATGCAAGGCACGGTGCAGACAGCAACTCCACACCCTTCAAGACTGGATGATTGCAACTGAGGACAAGGGCCCATGGTCCAGCAATACCTAGTGCCCATCGCCTTCACTTCGTTGCACATTGCGCATGGAACGAGGGCACCCCAAGATCTGCTCTGTTCTTGGCGTTGGAGCGTATGTCTGTACTCTCTCTCATTTGATCGCTAACAAACTTTGTCAAATGTTACTCCCGACTCAGCAGACAACGAACTTGAGCGGTGCCAACTGCAAGGCGAGGGAATAACTGTTGGTGTTGACCAATCTTTGCCCCTCATTTCTCGCCGCTTTAACGACACCTCAAAATCTTAGCGTCAGTTGGGACAGCAGACAGACAGCCGGGATTGATGGCTCAACTGACGATGGGCGAAGCTACTCTCCCGTTCACGCTTGGTCAAGGCACCGAGTTCGCTAGCGTTGAGATTTCCACACCATGAGAAGCCATCTGCAGGCAGAGTGACAAGCCACCCGAGGGAACGATAACGACAGCGGTCACCAACGTCCTAGACGTCAAGGCCATCCGACCAGCTTGCGAGCAACTACGATTTGAGCTCTTTGACTTGGTTCCAGTCCTCAGCTAGGCCTATCCCTGAGGCTTTTGTTCTCCAAGCCGGCGGGCCTCGCCCTACGCCCCGTCCTAAACACCTGTCTCTGTCATCGGCGTTCTTCACCGCTCTTTCGACGGGCTTTACCTCGGTGTCATCCAACCTCACCCGCGCAGCCTCCCAGCGAACTATGATTCCCGCTCGCAACACGGATCCCCTGGGACCTGAATCGCAACATTTTTCGAACCACCTACGGCCGAACAGTCTGCGCTACGCACCGTATCCTCTCCGTATCGTTCGTCGGGGCGGAGGGACAGGGAGGTGGGAGCAAGAGCGCATCAAGACGCATGAATAGCGCCATGCATGGCACGCAGTAGCTGCGAGCTTTCTCCGTCGCAGCGCACAGCATAGATGTGCGTGGGCTCGCATCCGAGGGACTAACGTGAACTATCTGATCGCTCCATGGCCTCCTCGCCGCAGTGGGAGCCGCACGCAAACAGGCCTTGTTGGTCGGATTGCCGTTTGTACAAGTCTTCCATCAGGCCATCTCATTCGGCGAGAGGCTCTTCTCCTGGGCGACTCCCTGTCGTGCCATGCAGACAACGCATAGAGGCGGCCGTGGCTGCGCTCGACGCCAATGTTTCGTTCCAACGCAGATGCCAGCAAGGCACTCGTCTGCCAGTGGGAGACGGGCATTTTCTCAGCTGTCGGGCTGACACACCGGATGGCCGACCTGTCGATAACCCAGGCGAAGACACCTCCCCGTTGGCTGAATGGGCCGGCCGAAATAGAGGAGGTCTAGATCGGGACCGAAGGCACTGGCCTGCATCTTTAGAGACGGGCATTTTTGTCAGCCATTTCAAAGGCCCTCAGTCACCTGGACCGGTCCAACGCCGGGCCTAGCTTTCCTGCCGCACCTGTGGCCTGCCTTTCCCGCCGCCCTGCCGGTCGCCATAGACGTACCTCGCCCAAGTCTCACGCCAGCGTTGCTTTTTCTCCGCATGGACTCAGATCTGTTCCTGGGTTATCTGCCCGCTGCCATTGGATGAACGACACGTCCCGGTGCTTTGACTCTGCTGGTGGCATTTGCGGGTGCGATGAGATGGCCGCAGGCGAGTCATTGGCTCGCAACTTTGCGTGTTGGTGCTTGGGCCTGCGAGTATTCACATGTTGTTGCGGCGACGGTGCGGGAGAGGGAGAGGGAGAGTCAAGTGCCGCGACAGGCGGATGACGGATCCCACGACGTTGCAATATCGCTGATGCATTTTCCCATGTGAGGTGCCTGCGCACATGGGAATCGTCCATGGGAGAGGACGGCTCGTCCGTTCGGAACAATACGACGCCGTGACTCATGGGCCTCGTCTGGAAGCATCAGACTCTTCGGCTCAGGAGCTGACACGCGGATTGGACATCCAACCCGAGTCGGGATGCTGAGTCGGGCGGCCGGTTATTGCAACCGGTGGATGCCCCGAGCGTCCACGGCATGTACTCGGTAGAGGCCGCAGACGGGCGACCTGTTTTGCTGGCGCCGGGTGGTCTCTCCCTGTCGAGACTATTTCTTTGAGTTTTGCCAGCCAGGCAGTGAGCGGCAGTTAGCTCGCCGGGCAGCGTTCCCTACAGCTTTGATCAATATACGTAATACGTCTATGAGGACAATAGCAGTAGAGAAAATCAAAGAGGTAGTGATGAGTATGACGATAACGATGAACGACGGCGAAAGCAATAAAAGTAGCGACGACGAATGCAAATACGCGGGAAAGAGTACAACACTGCACGGATAGCCAACTGAAACTGCCCGGCTAGCAAAGACTCACTTTTTCTCGTCTGTGGAAGTACTTAGGTGCTTGCGAGCTTCTTAGGCACATGAGCTGTCACGTCCCGATACGCAGACGGCCGGGCCGCGGAGTGGGAGCACGGCAGGATGCTGTTGAGGAACCTCCGTGGTGGTCCTCCAGCTGCACGGTACAGGTGACGGAGTCGACCGTGTTTGTACAGCGGCAGCAATGGCTAGGCATCTTGTGGTAACCTCGCTGATGGTTCGTCACGGAGATTCGCCGTCAACGTTGACTATTCGTGCTATGATACTCGGGCTGTTTCTACGGCTTCCCGGCAATCAACAAGTCTCATGTGGCGATATGTGATCGATATAGAGGTTTAATTATACCATTATGCATACAATACAGTCTGCCTACTCCGGATTGAAAGCCCGGCTAGAATACCCCGAACGCCGTTCCATACACTATATCTGTCGTCATTGCTCATGAGCTTTAAACGTTTGGACCATTTCCATCTCTTACACACTCCCGCTCATCCGGCGGGCTGGTCACTTCACTTTTTACACATCAAGCATACTCTTCACCTGCTGCGGCTGCCCCGAGACAGAGACGGCCGTGCTGGTGCTGTTACTCCGCTCCCCGGGGTTGAGGGAGTTGAGGGAGACGTTGTCCGACCTGCCGCGGGTCTGGGCGTCGGTGTACGAGGGCGGCGGGCCGTCTTGCATCAGCTCCGACGCGCGGTCCGGCCGGCCCGCCCCGGAGTTGGGGAATAGCAGCTCCGCGGCCGCGTTCATCGTCCGCTCCTGCCGGCGCCGGTCGGACTTGCCGGCGTACGAGGAGAATGTGGAGCCCTTTGCAGCGTCGAAGCCCGGCCGTACCGGGGTCGAGGTGTTGGAGCTGCTGCCGCCCATGTTGCCCATCTCGATCTCGCGCTGCTGCTCCTGCTCCGGCGGCGCGTCGTTGTAGGCCTGCTGCTGCTGCTGCGGCTGCTGCTGGGTGGCGGGGGCGCGGACGCCGCCTACTTCGCGGACGTTGCGGGCGATGCGGTCGCGCATGGACATCTTGCCGACGAGGTGGTCGTCGCGGGTGACGCGCTTCCACCAGGCGGGCTTGGCGACGATGCCGAGGTCGTGGTCGATCTCGGCCTCGCGGACGCGGCGCTGGCGCATGAGCTCCTTGTCCTCGTTGGGCGACCTGAAGCCGTAGACGATCTGGATGCAGAGGATGAGCAGGGCGGGGCCGTAGCCGCCGGCGTAGACGGCGGCGAGGTTCGCCTGGGTGTTGAGCACGGAGTAGTCCCAGCGGAAGGAGACGAGGCCCTGGTAGGCGATGAGGCAGGCGGCGAGGGGGATGATGAGCTTGAAGCGCAGCGGGGTGTAGCGGATGAAGCCGCGGGCTTTGTTGAGGACGCCGCGGTTGCGGGGGTAGTAGTGCAGGATGGAGTGGCGGAGGGAGGCGACGATGGTGAGCCAGCAGATTACGAGGCAGAAGGTTGCGACTTTGAAGCGGACGTCTGTTGCGTTTGGCTCGGCGCGGGCGGCGGTTTGGTCTGGCGAGCGCTGCTTTTCGATCTCGCCCCAGTTGCGGGGGATGATGAGGAAGAAGTTCTGAGGGTTGTTAGTTTAGGGAAGCTTGGGAGTATGCGGAGGGGGAGGAACTTGCCAGCCATAGCCAGAGGTAGTACCACAACGGCAGCCAGAACTCAAACTTGTCTCGCTTGTCACCCTCGCGGAGGATGAACGGGTCCGGGTCGATGTACTGCCTCTCGCTCCAGCTGCCCCAGTGGCGGACGGCCTCCCACACGAGGGCCATGGTGAACTGCTGCAGGAGGTACCAGAAGAAGCTGTTGATGATGATGGGCAGGCCGACGACCCAGAAGCGGTCGACGTCGATGGTCATGAACAGGCTGATGAAGGCGGCGACGCAGACGAGGATGGCGTAGTACCATTGCCAGCGCTTGCCGACAGGGTAGAAGCGCTTCGTCGTCGGCAAGTACTGGCGGCCGTGCTTCTTGAGGCAGGCGAGGATGAGCATGAGGGCGACGGCGTAGACGACGCCGATGGCGACGCCGGCCTTTGCGCGGGGCCCGATGGAGCGGATGGGGTCGTAGCACCATGTGGAGTTGACGAAGGAGCCGTTGGGGAGGAGGGCGACGGGGGTGTAGGGCTGCTGGGTGAGGAAGCAGTTTGAGCCGTTGGAGAGCGTGTTGTTGGAGTAGAGGGTGTAGTTCCAGAAGTCGAGGACGGTGCGGTTGAAGTGGACGCCGCCGAGGACTGTGTCGGAGGCGTTTGCGCCGTCGGGGAGGGGGAGGAGGTCGCGGAGGGAGAGCGGGAGGAGATGCATTTTGGACGGTTCGGAGGAGGTTGTCGTCGTTTCGGGGTCTTCGGAGGGTTCGGATGAGGCGTTCGTTTCGGGCGACGGTGCGCGAAGGTGATCCGTGGGGATTGAAGGGCCGTCGGGGGCAGAGGAGATGGTTGAGAGATTATGACATTGCTGGCGGATTGGGAGCGATTGAAGCGGACGACGACGACGACGGCGAGAGAGGAAGAAGGTTGGAGGTCGAGAGATGTTGGATGACGAGGTGGTGGTGGTGGTGGTGGTGGAATTATGATTATTAGGTACTAAAGAGGATGGATGACAAGGTATATGGAAGCTTCGGAAAGACGGCGTAGTAGCGAAACTCTTTAGCGGCGTATCCAATGTTTTTTTTCCCCCTCGACTAATCGCGCGAGTGCGTAGTCAGCGAGAATTCGCCGGTGCCAATCCCATTCGCAGCTTTCGAGTCCGTCGTCCAGTCCGGAGGAGGGAATGCGCTGATGATCAACAAGGTCGAGTGAGAGTGGACGCGGGTGACGGCCCCATGCGGAATGGGCGGATGGGCAGCTTGCCTTTTTTCTTTTGCGTCAAATTGTGGAGATGCCGAAGGTCCGGGAGGAAAACACAGAGAATCAAAGACCGGGGGGAGGAGAGAAGAGTGACAAACAATGAGGCGGGTTGGCGGGCTGGGATGGGACCCCGGGAATATCGCGCAGTTTGATCTCATTCCTCATTTGCTGACTGTTTTATGTTGGTTTTAGTGCCGCTTGGCGTCATGGGCGCTGCGGAGACCGTGCGCTTAGGTTGGTGGGTGGCTGGCACGCGAGCCACAATTGGAACAATTCACTAGCCACATCTCGTCAGCCATGATCTCTTATGTCAGCGGAGCTTGACGGTACGTACCCATTGCATCAAGCAGAGGGAGACAGGACACTTGGAGCTTGGTTTCCCTCCAGAGCTTCCACCAGCTCAAGCTCACAGCGGTGCAACACCACCACCTCCCTCGACGAAACACCACCCATTGCGCCTACAACACACGGCCAATGGCTCCAATCCGCCCATCATGACCACCCAAGACGAACAGGAACCCTCCTACATCGACTACGAGACCTTCCTCTCCCCCGACTTCAACCCCGCCTCCTTCGCAAACACCCTCGTCCTCGCGACCAATAACCCCAACGATGCGCCCCTCGACCTCTCCACCCCGCTCTCCCGCGTCCTCTTCGATACCCAGGAGATCGACTCCCACATCGACGTGCTGACCACAAAGTCCGCCGCCCCGCTGCTGCAGTACACCGACGAGCAGAACGCCGCCAGCAAGCGCATCATCGGCGAACTCGACGCCCAGATCAAGAGCCTGAACGACAGCTACCGCCAGCTCGAGAAGGAGGTCATCGACAAGCACGCCGAGGCCGAGGAGGTGCGCCAGGTCGCCACCCGCCTCTGGGAGACCCTGAAGCTCGGCCGCTCCGTGGGACGCTGTCTCCAGCTCGGCAGGCAGCTCGAGGTCCAGCACGCCGAGATTGCGAGTGGCAGTGTAAGCGCTGCGGCTGCTGCGGCCGGGAAGAAGGAGGACCACAGGGCGCTGGTGCGCTGCTCGCACACGCTACTCTCTCTGAGGGAGGTGCTGGATCGGTCGGCGCCCGGGGAGGAGGGCTACGGGCTGGGCAAGGTGGACGCGATCCGCACCCTGCGAGAAGGCGTCATCGCACCGATTGAGCGGTCCGTCAGGGAGACGGCGGAGAAGATCATCCGCGACTTTGCGGTCCCCAAGTCGGCCACCTTCGCGCAGGGCGAGGAGACCAAGGCGCGGACCGTCTCGGCCATGGTCACGCTGTTCCTGCTGTCACCGCAGCCCGCGATGAAGGGCGAGCGGTGGACGCCGACGCTGCTGCTGCAGGCGCTTGAGGTGTACTTCCGCTCGGCGCTGCAGTCGTCCATCGCGTCGCTGTCGCGGGCGCTGGGCCAGCTGCCGTCGCTGGACCGGACGCTGGCGGAGATCTCGGCGCGGTGCCAGAACATTGTCGCGCTGGAGGTCGTGCTCGAGTCGACGAAGCTGCCGACGCATCCGCTGGTCACGACGCCGCAGAAGCAGACGAATATGCTGCAGCCGCTGTTGGCGTATCTCGAGACAGGCAGCCTGGCGAGCTACTTTTGGAGGACGATGGCTGGCAGCCTGGGTACGCGGGTGCAGGAGATTGTGAACCGGGGAGGCGTGTCGGCGAGGACGCTGAGGACGAACCGGGCGAGCGTCGGGGAGGCTGTGAGGGAATGCGTTGTCAGGGGGTGCGAGATGCCGAGCGCGCTGAAGGGGAAGGGGAGGGGCGAGGGCAATTGGGAGAGGGAGGTTGCTGTCATGGTTGGCAGCGTTGTGAACAACCTTGGGAGGTGAGAAACATGTCTCTGGAGTTGGGTCTTTATGATGATGAAATGCTACGAATGCATAAGCGGTCACAAGGAAAAGTTTGCATGTTTCGCAACGGCTCAGGTCTGGTTACAGTGAAGGGTCGCAGTTCAACCACTCTCAATCCGCATCATCGACTTTTCACCATCATTGGAGCGCAAAAAGGTGTTTGTCGCATTTATGAAGAAAGGCAAAAAGGATATCATTGAAAGGGACGAGACTCGAACTCGCGCGGGTTGCCCCACCAGGAAACAGATGTTAAGCTGACCTTAACCTGGCGCCATAACCAACTCGGCCACCCTTCCAGAAGACGTTGAAGAACCCCCACGTGGGCGGGCTCATGCAGCGCTGGCGCCGTCGACGAAACCCGCGATGTCCACTTCCAGCTCCAATTTTGTGGGTTTTCTGTGGCTCTGTGTAACATTTGCAACTGTCAAAGACTCTTCCTCGGAATCGAAGCAGTGCGAGGGACATCGGGACACGGGACGTTCTTAACAACAGGTAGAGAGCGCCATGGGAACGATTTATCTCCTGAACGCCAAGTTGTGATGGAGTTTCAACATTGTCGATGTCTTGAACGCACATCACCGGACAACCAAGTCCGTCCTCTCCGTCTTGTCGTTGAGACGAACACAAGCCCCGAGTCAGGGGAAACCACTTTTCCCCCAGCCCACCGACTCGTTCTCGCAAACTCAACTGCCGCTGCACGAACGGCAGTCAGAGTAAACCCTCCATCCCCCACGTTGTCCGTGCCCCTCCCTTTGCTTCCTATTGACTGGCACTGCCGAAACCACGGCGCTGTTAGGTTGCCTCGGCCGAACCATGATCTCCCTTCCCGTGGGCAGCAACTCGTACCGGCGGGCGGTAGAGAGGGAGGAGGTCCCCGTTGAAAATTGTATTCCAACTCTATGCAATCATGCTCTGGCGTTGCTTCCTGTAAAGTCCTTGGCGCCGCCCTAGGTGCGACGCCCTAATGCCGAGAACGAATGCGAGGGCAACGTAAAGACGACGACGACGACGGTCAACTCTCTACACATCTGTCTACTAATCAACCTGCTGACAAAATACATGGTATCCTATGGCTGGAATATGGACTTGAAAAGGCCCTAAATCGCGTAACCGTCGCATCAAACCGGGGCGACGGGGCCAACCCCTTGACGATCGTCCTCGAACCTACCCACATCGTGAAGGCCTCATCGCAGGATAAAACCCCCAAGCCACGCACCTCGATATCTCAGAAATTCCCAGTACCAAAGGACACACCAGCACCCAACAGCCGCCTGCAATGGCGCTCCTCTCCCTCACAGCCCTGGCCTACGCCATCCCCTTCACCCTCCTCTACTACGCCCTCTCCCGCTACCTCGCCCACCGCCGCCTCCTCCGCTTCGCCAAAGCCCACAACGCAACCTTCCCAAAACACATCCCCTCCCGCCTCCCCTTCGGCATCCAGTACGTCTGGCGCACCATCACCACCGCCCGCCGCGGCGGCGACATCCTCGACGACATCGTCGAAAAGTCCTACGCCGCCAACGGCGCCACCTTCACGCAGCCGGGCTTCTTCGGCCCGCGCGAGATGTACACCGTCGACCCGCTCAACATCCAAGCCCTCCTCGCGACAAAGTTCCAGGATTTTGATCTGGGCGAGCGGCGCATCGCGCAGTTCAGCCCGCTGCTGGGGCGCAGCATTTTTACGGCCGACGGCCCGTTCTGGGAGCACTCGCGCGCGCTGTTCCGGCCGCAGTTCTCGCGCGAGAATATCAATGATTTAGGCAAGACGGAGGACGCGGTCAAGGCGCTGTTCGCGGCGCTGCCGATGGTGGGCAAGCCAGGCGATGGGTCTGTGACGGTGGACATCATGCCGCTGCTGTTCCGCTTCACGCTCGACACGGCGACGGGGTTCCTCTTCGGCGAGAGCGTGGACAGCCAGACGGCGGCCGCGACAGGGCGGGTGGCGAGCACGAGCGCCGCGGCGGCAATGGCGGCGGACCTGCAACGCACCGGCGGAAAGGATGATATGAGCTTCGCGGAGGCGTTTCATGAAGCGCAGATGTGGATCACGATGCGCGTGCGATTGCAGGGCCTGTACTGGCTCGCGCCGAGCGGCACGGGGAAGCGCGCGGCGGGGTACATGCGGCGGTACGTCGACCACTACGTCAAGCTCGCGCTTTCCGCGGCGAAGCCGAGTAGGGAGAAGTACTCGCTGCTGGACACGCTGGCGGAGGCGACGCGGGATGAGAACGAGCTAAGGGACCAGATTCTGGGGATCCTGCTGGCGGGGCGGGATACCACGGCGACGCTGCTGTCGTGGGTGCTGCTGCTGCTGGCGCAGCACCCGGCCGTGTTCGAGAAGCTGCGCGGGGAGATACTGAAGGAGTTTGGGGAGTACAGCGAGGACGCGGAGGGGATCGACTTTGGCGCGCTGAAGGGCGCGCAGTATCTGCAGTTCGTGCTGAGGGAGACGCTGCGGGTGTATAATGCGGTGCCGCTGAACCTGCGGATCGCGGCGCGGGACACGGTGCTGCCGCGCGGGGGCGGGCCGGACGGGAGCCAGCCGGTGGTGGTGCGGAAGGGGCAGACGGTGAATTTCTCGCCGTACGTGCTGCACCGGCGGGCGGACGTGTGGGCGGAGCCGTTGGCGTTCCGGCCGGAGCGGTGGGAGGGGACGAGGCTGGATTGGAATTATGTGCCGTTCAGCGGCGGGCCGAGGATTTGTCTTGGACGTGAGTTGGAGGAGTTCCTATGGTGTGATGTGTGTGGTTTGCTAACGTGTTGATGACAGAACAGTTTGCCCTTACCGAGGCTGGCTTCCTGATTGTTAGGTTGTTGCAGCGGTTCAAGGCCATGGAGTGGGTTGGGCCGGTGGGCAAGCCGCGGAAGGATATCCATTTCACGATGGCGCCGAAGGATGGGGTTCCGGTCAGGTTGGTGTATGCGGATTGATGGGCGAACTTGTAGATGATGGTTGTTGAGGTTTGGGTAATTCAGGTTCTGGAATACGGATCTTGGTTTGGAGTTTGTGATACAATAGAAACGTTTCGTAGAGGTACGAGTTACGCTTAACCCATGTTCCAGCTACGTCTTGGCCATCAATTTCCCCTCCCTTATCGACACCACAGTCAGAAGACTTCAGCTTGTCCGAAACATCTCCAAATCTTTCTCGCCCCTGCCACGCAGAACGCCGTTTCCAATCTTCCAACAATCACTCCAGCACACACAGCCCAAAAGTCATGGACGAGCTTGCGCGCAACCTGTCCGCGGCCCTCGCCGACGCCAACTTCAGAATCGCAGTTTCCAGGTTCATAACGGGTATGTGCACCAATCTGCCGAGTGACGATCGGCACGGCATTTGTTGCAGGGGGGTTAGCCTTTCACCATTGTCAGTTATTCATGGTGTGAGTGTTTGCATGTGCCGTGCAGAACCAGCTGCGGCGTTTGTTGCGGATCGATGCTGCGGCAGAACATGTTACCTTGTTTGAGGTCTCTTGCGTCTCTATGCGCATCCCCGCGGCACCATTTTGATGGATCAGGAGTTTGAGGGTGGAAATGTGTTATTGAGATTGGAGTTTCCTCGATGAGAGTGCAAGGGAGGGTCTGATCCTGCTTAGAAGCTAAGCTGAATGTACCATATCTAGTAGTCTCGTTCGATTTTAAAGCATTAGTGAATGAGTGAAGTTGAAGGTTAAGAGATTGCATAGATTTCTTGTTTCTCCGCAGTATGTCTCCTGTACTTCATTGATTACCAAATATTCTTCAATCGAGGACGATGGCAAGTAGATCGGCAGAAGTACAGATGATGATACCTAAGGTACACAAGCGGCGATGACGATGATAATAATGATCATAACGACGACGGCAGTAATGGGGAAGAGCAGGTATATAATCACAGGAGAACTTGTTGCGCCGTAACATTGAGACTATTTGTTACAGTTCAGCAATATCCATGACGGCAAGTCGAGGACAGCGTATGTAGACAGTAGACGTGCTGCTGGTGTTGAGCCTTTCCGGAGTTGTCCAGTCACAATGACCAATCCCCTATCAATGGAACCAGGCAGGGCGGTCCCACCAGGGAACCGTTTTTGGTCTCGCAAAGCGTGCATACTCCTTGTCCCACTGACCTTTGGACATCCGATCCCAAAACGTCAGCACGTGTCTGCAGTCAACCGGCATCCACTCCTTGTCCTCTCGAATCTCGCCATCCTCCATCTCCTCAGCGTTAATAACCACGCCGTTGACGTCGTCGTCTTCGAAACACCTGATGGCCTTGACAAACGCCACAGGCACCTCGCCCTCGCCCTCCGCAGCCATCGCCGTCTTGTGTTTCTGAAACGACTCGAGGCACTCGTCGTCGACGTAGAGCAGATACTTGAGCATGGTCGGGTCGCGAGGCCCCTGGACTCGCTCGCCATCGTCGTTGAAAAACTGTGCCCGCGCGAACTTACGTCGCATCCTGTCAACCGACGCATACTGGGGCGGTAACTTCATTTTGATAAGATACGGCAGTAACAAGTCGGTCTTCTCGTCTGGCTCGAGCGCCCATGTGACGGCCATGCCATCCCTAATGTTGTTCACATAGCGGTCCCAGAGGGGCTTGTCATTGTCGTCGAGTCCTGTGTGGGCGATGAAGAAGCCGAAGAGATGGGGAAGAGGCTGCTGTGGATTGGATCGAGTTTCTCGTAGAGCTGCTTCAAAGGGGGGCGCCGATTCGAGTGGCGCCTCGCTGACGAGGCTGTTGATGAGGTTGGTGTCGTTGGTGACGCGGCGGGGCAGCATCAAGGTTGCGAGCACGTCCATGTTTGCGTCTGTGTTGGGAAATGTGATGATATCGATGATGAGGAGGCTCAAGCCCGCGTCTCAACGAGGCCAATAACTCTTGATATGGCGACCACCTCTTTCTCCGAACGAAGCCATATTGAACCTTGCAAAACATCAACGTTTTTCCTGGATTTCATCAGGGTTCTGTGTGCTCAATCTGGAGTTTTATTTCGCCGCGTGACCCTCTTTATACAAACCATCGCCCGCCTTTTCAAAAACCCTGCAAGAGAGCTCATTCTATCAAGGCTATTCTCATCCACTGCCATCCATGCCTTCGGAACCTCTCGACAAGGCAGTCAAACACACACACAGACCACAAAATGACGATCACAACACCAAGCAATAACGGGCAACTCGCCCGCTGGGTCAACAGAAAAGGAGATCTATGTTTCGAAGTAGCCTTCTTCGCGGCTGCCGCATTCGTCTTCGTCGCCTTGGGCGCCGTGATTGTCGCCCTCAGCTTGGTCGTCGGAGGCCTGCTCGTCGCGGGCGTCATATTGTTCGGCGCTGCGGATACGATGAGCGAGAAGGTCAACAAGGTCGCCTCACCAGAACAGAGTCAGGCACAGGCAAAAGAGATGATGAAGCAGAAAGATACCATAAAGCAGGAAGGTGCCACGAAGCAGGGTGAAGCTCGCAAGAAGGACGACGACACTCAGAATAAAGACGGCCCTGAGAAGAACAGATTGAAGAAGAAGCAGCAGCAGATGGCACAGCTGAACCGTACCTGGATACAGGAACTGGATACGAGGGCTATGTCAGAATATACGAATAAAGTGCAAGAGGTGGAGCGGATAATGGACTGTACAGAACGGAAGAGCAACATTGACAAAGGTAGAACTTAAGGTGCCTCGCCATTAGACACTTATGTTCGGTCATTGGCAAAACGATCGAATCCCAGTTGGTGAAGGCCTTGATGCCAAACCAGTTACAGTATTGCGCCGAAAGCAAAATCCTTGAGATAGGCTCGATGGACTGCCTCTTTGCGTCACGGTCGGGCCCAGAGGTGTGGATGAGGATACTGTCATCATGGGGGTTGAATTATGCTCCCGCTATTTTGCCTTTCCCGGGTTCTTGTAGATCGCTCATGGAGAGTAGATGGCAAAGTCCATCCCTGCGACTTAGTGGGCTTAGGTCAATTAATTTCATCACGATCGCTGCCGCATGTTTTGTAAAAGGATCCTTCGCTTGATGGTTGCGATCGTCGAAGCTGACGGAGTTTTCTCAACCCGGACGGGATGACATGAACCGTAACGGAACGCTAATATTCTGAGGGTTATCATATTGCTGCCCATAGTAGTACAGCCGGAGGCTGATCATCAGAGGGGCTCCGTGTTCATGCAGGCTCAGTCAATCAGCACCTTGTAGATCTTATGTGGCTGAGTGTCGCTTTCCCAAGAAGAACCATTAGAAGAACCAAAGATAAAAGCCACTTATCAACGGTTCCGTCGAAAGCAGCTCACTTGCCGACCAGACCGCATGTCAAGACGAAACCAGGCCGTACCAGACGTCTCTACGATCTAGCAAGAAGACGTCTCGAACGCCTAGTTAACACCTTCACAACTGCCGGTAGCCACCCGGACTCAGCCTCTAAGGCGTCCTCCTACTGCCTGTTCTGCATCCATACAGGTGGGACGACGGCGAGACCTAGCCCCCCCATGCGCCAGCGCCGAGGATCGAGCTACCGCAGATGAACACATCGGCGATCAACGACTTTCGGCTCCCTCTGCTCCAATCAGTGGATCGTTGTTCGCGCCCAGAACCTTTCACTTGCACGTCGCTTTCGCTTCTCGGATACGGCAGATACATGCCGTTTCCAAAACAACGTCTGCAGGACCCAGTCCATGCAAACAAGCTTCGGTCAACGCCGCCGCTCCTGCCAGACTAGCAGAAGCGCTCCGATTCCTCGGGAAAATTACTGAGTACGGCTAGAGCATCATGGAGGAGCCGGGACTTGTTTCGCACTGCAAGTTCTGCACAGCCCTGGCCTTCATTGTCATCCTAGTCGTCAACCTTGCCCTCAGCGCTGTCTTTTACGTTGGGTTCTACGGGATATTTGGTCTTATCAAGGGCTTTCGATACGCTTCAAACAGAATGAAAGAAAGGAAAGCGAAGGCGGAGGACGCGGAGGCAACCGCGGCTGTTCCTGACGTCACTGCCAATCGTGGTCAACCTGTGTGAGATGTGGTGTTTGCACCCAGGCGGTGATCAATTCATGATGATCTTTAGAAAACATCTTGACATAGCGATAATACAGAAGAGGAGCTCGGGATTGAGCAAGAAATCCGACGCCAAATAACGAAACGCGGCGACGTCAGAAGGAGAACGCGGGGAATTGTTGAACACTCAGAGCGGCCCATGGAGAGATAATTTTGCATGCTTGAAGTGCGCTTCAGGATTTATGTTGAGGTATTACGAAGTTAGACTCACGAAGTGAGATTTGTATCAACCTGAATTCAAGCATAGTGGAGCAGAAAACATCTAACAACCGCTGGCTTCGTGCAGTGATAAACAGTTGAAGTCGTGTGCAAAAACTCAAGGGTGCCTGTTGTTTTGATCACTACCAGGCAGCATGCACATCAAATCTTGGACACCGGCCTTCCGTCTGTCTTATCTTGACCATTGATAAACCATCTGATGAAGTTCATTAAGTAGACGCAAAGGCCTGTTGGTTAGTAGGTACGCTTGCTGAAATCCTGCGAAGGCTGCTGGGTTAGGCCATCCAGTTGGATGAACCGTGCTGATGATCCTTCACAGCCCACTGAAGCATTGAAAAGGGCTAAAACTCTAATGATTTGAATATCTAGAACTCGGAGAAGCCTGATACAGGAACGCCGACATCCTTGATCCCCTAACGAAGGCCAGGGTCACGATAGAGACCCTTCTTCTACCGGAAACAATTGACTCCTTGATGAACTATTGTCAACTCGCACTAGATCGGAGACTTTCCTACTTTTTCCGCACAGGAAATGAGGCTTACCTTTCGGGTTTCCTATCGTTTGAATATGCGATCCAGAAAACCACCCTGATAGTACAACACCATTTACTGAGGCAGCAACACATTAGGGCTGAGTCCCCAACAAATGGAGACTCCTTGATAGCACCGTCGCAAAAGGCACACACCTTCGTGCATAATACAAGTCTCATCGTAGAGGTTTGCCAACACATCTCTAATGATTTTCAACTCCGACTTGACTAACTATCGGGAACGGCAATTTCCTCTCAAAACCAACATGCTCTTCTCATGCGCAACTAAACAGCTTATGTGGAAGTGGCATAAAGACGTAGAGGAGGACGCTGCCGTACTTGGAGGCTTCCTCATGTGGATGGATATTCTTCTTTTTATGCTTCCTCTTCTTCTTGTTTCTTCTTCTTCTTTTACTATACGGCGTATGCTATCTTATCACGAACACTGCCATCGCTTTATTCAGGGACTTGTTTCCCATCACAATCTCCATCAACTGCCCATGCCACGCAAAAGAGTCTTCCCAGAGCGTTGAGAAGATTAAAAGCGACAGTGAGCCTACCGGCGATGGATCATCATCCGTAGGCGGCCGCCGAATCTACAAATACATGTAGGCAGAAGCCTCCTAATTTTCCATCATGGCAGCAACGCGGAGGGGGGCATTGCACGACTTCTCTTGGGGCACATGAGACTTTTCGGATCGCAGACTAAACTTCGGGTCGGCCATTCTTTTGGGTTTCCTATTACGGTCCGGTGTGTCAGTCGGAAGCGGGAAAACAAGATTTATGAAGTAAGGAATCAGAAGACAGAGTGGAGAGAAACTTGGTCAGAGAAGCTTACAATTACGCGTCAGTTCAAACACACAATCTTGTATTCCACACCGAACGCATTTGTGAGCTTGCCACGCTATCTCCAAGAGGCTTGAACACCATAGACCGCGAAACGGTACGCCACTGTCGACGAGTGATAGTTGCTCTAGAACTCATGGGTTGCGCATAAAGTCAGACATTGCATGCTCCGTATGACACTTCTCGCTAAGACCGTTTTGTGATTCGAATGTCCTCGATTTCTCATGGACAGCTACACAGCGTAGTTGAACACAGAGCGAACACAAAAACGGTGACCGATTCGGGCAGCAATGGGTGCGTACTGCAAACTGAGAATCAGGTATAAAAAGGTGTATTGATCGTCTCAATATCTGTCAATTTAAATACAGTCAATCTCAATTTAATTATACTCAGCCTCGCTGCTTCTGCCTTCCAATGCGTCTTCAAAATCATCTCATCCTATTCACAACCTTGTCGCATGGGGCATACGCCACATGCTTCTGGTCAGGCATAAACTGGGACAACGCCCAGGACTCCGCTCGTGGTGCCGTTGAATACTGGTGCCGTGATGCCTCCGATTCGGCCCGACTTACCGGCGTGTTGTACGTAGAGGAGTGTCCCTTTATTCATCTTCAGATTGGCACGCTAATTCTGCCACAGTCACTCTGGAGATAGCAAGGGCCGATGCAGCAACCTCTTGCTAGAAGGACAGACAATTGGGTAAGTCTTTTACATTTTGTTTTCAATGAGTCGCTTAAATTGCGTAGAAAAAGATTGGATATCACAGTGCAATGGCTTGGGCAAGATGAATCGGTCCTCGAGGTGGATCAATGCATCCAGAGACTCAATGATGAGATTGGCTGCGATTTGGGAGGCTCAAAGGTCACCGACGAATGGAGTTTTACGTGAGTATCCATAATTCCATGCCTGATGCGCGGGATTTGAATGGCCATGCATTTGCGAATATTGATATCCTCATCACTTCAGGTCCGATCCAAACACTGGTCTCTGCGCCAAAGTCAGTTGAAGGTCGTGTGGCATACGCGCGTGCTTTGTGACTGGACATTTCCCATGAACGAGCTGCAAGATTTGAATTTCTTTTCTCAGATCTTTCTTTTTGGAGGAAATAAGACGGATGAAACAAGAGATTTAATTTCGGGCTGGTCAGTTTTTATTACACAATTGATCATCTTCACTTATGGCATGGAAAGGCAGTTATTGATATGTAAAACCGGTAAGAGTTGCCGGGCCGTGATTATGATTGTGGCAAAAGTATGTGCCATGCCCGAAGGCCTATCATGATACATTAAGATTATTATGTTGGGTTCCAATTATTATCTCCTCCAATCAACCATTATTTTCTTTCATATTATTTCCTTCTCTTCATTATTATGTCATTACGTTTTTGTTATCGACATTAGGTGGTTCGTATGTTTTGGCGTTGAATTATGTTGCGTGAATCGTGACCAATATTTGCAGTCTCTCGATACTCGTGGTCTGAGAATGCGTCTGCATTCTTAGGCGGTGTTGTAGTAGATGTCGATCTCCTTGATCTTGAAGATGGCGTCGACGGCAGGGGGTCCGCAGCTCCAGCCCTTGTCGCCGTTGGCCCAGTTGTTGAAGACCCAAGGTCCGGCAACGGTAGGGACATCCTTGCTGGTGCGCCAGGACTCGACACCGTCAATGAAGAACTTGACCATGGCGGGCTGTCCACCGGCAGCAGCGACCCAGTCGATGCGGTACTCGTGCTCGGTGGTGGTCGGGTTGGCGGGGGCTCCGACTGCGGTCCAGGTCTTCTGGCCATCGCCGTCGTTGTCCTGGTTGGCGAACCAGATCTTGCGGGTAGAGCCGCGGCCGGTGTTGCTCTGGGTAGCGGGGTCGGAGAGCCACTCAATGTCACTCTCCTGGTTGTCGTTCTTGTAGAAGAACATTCCTGCGCATTATGTTAGCACCAAATCATATTGTGGAGAAATCTGAAGAGACTTACCATTGCAAACACCAGGAGCCTCAGCAAGAACACCAACGGTTCGGACAGAAGCGTACTTGATGTTCTGGACCGAGGTGACGACTTCGGCGCACTTGTAGGGCTTCACCTTCTGACCGCCGTTGACTCTCAAGTTGAGGTAGCCACCCTGGATGTAGGTGTTGGTCGTGTCGTACTTGTGAGTGTTGGCGACCTTGTAGCCGCTGACAATGAGACCCTTGGGGACCGAGGTGTTGTCCTTCAAAACACTGAAGTCGAAGTAGGCCCTGTTCTTGTAGGTCGCGCCGTCAATGGTGTAGACTCCATTGGCAGCCGTAGGCTTCGTGGAGCGTTGAGCGGCAGCAGCGCCGGCAAGGAGAACGGTGAAGACTGAGAAGCGCATCTTGACTGAGCGTCTGGAGTTGATGTTGTCTGATCTTTGAGTGGTTGTCTGTGATGAAGATCGTTGCTGCTTGGAGTGCCGTTATGTTTCATTCCGAGGAATGGAAGACGTTACTTATAATATCCAACATTCGCATTTTTCTTGTTGACATTCTCATCGACCATCTTGAGAAAGCAAGCTTGCGGAAGCCTCCGTGAAGGCGCGCCGGCCAGATCTACCATGTGTACGCGGCAGTGGCTAGTGGCTGGGCCCATGGCTATGGAACCGAAGCCCAAGCATAAAATAAGTGCATGCCGGATTCTCGGGGTCACGTCTTGAATTGGGATAGCCTCATCGTCTAAGGATCAAGTCACAATCTCGGCCGAGACCACGGTAGGTAGAGTATCTGAATGCAGAACTTACACTCTCGATGGGCAATTGCTGATTGATGGTAGGCGAGCTTTTGGCGGACGACCAAGCGCTCAGTCTAACACCAAAAGCGGCCTTTCCCAAGAGCTCGGTTCTGTAGTCAACGGCCTGTGGAGAATAGACAACCAATGATCTTTAGAGGATCTGGTTTGTCCCTGGACGTTAGCTTGATCACTTTGCTGAAGGGACGTGAGGCTGGACTCGTAGCCCCAAAAACGTGGCTGAGTGTGCATGTACGTTTGCGGTCAACGGCACTTGAATCCGTGTCCCCGGCCTGGGAACCTCACGTCATTAACGGGTCCATCGGACCCTTAGCGCCACCGAACCAAAGCCATAGCTCCGCTGTCACTCTTTACCGAGGGCTCTAAGCTCTTAGACGATGAGAGGAGTTCTGTCCGTCTCGCCGATTCGGGAGCTGTGGCCCACGGCCGCATTCGTCAAGCGGCCGAAAGCAGTCCCCAATGCTCAGGGCCAGCTTTTCGGCAAGACATCTTGAAAGAAGAAGACGGGAGCCATGATTTTTCCCCTTCCCACTTGCCGTGAAAATTTCTTCTGCCCCTGGATAATACAATGGCAGACATGTTGCTGTTTGTTTTCCCCGCGTGGAAGACACGAATGTCTTGGCCGTTGCAGAGGTTTGCCCTGCCAAGAAAAGCACCACAACACGCAGTTGTTCACAAGGAGTGAGACATGACACCTCATTGTGTCTCACTTGAGAGGCAGTGAACAGTCTCAGACAGCGGAGTGACCGGCGAAGATGCTGGCGGGAGGCCCGGTGGCACTCTCATACCGGATGTGACCCGCACCTGTCCGAGACATGGCACGGAACGCGGGGCGGTGCAGCTGGCGGAGCCGGTCCGGGGCTCGGAAGGGCCCGCTCGCGGAGGATTCCCGTTTTAGGTGGGTTAGCAGGCCCGGAGGAAAGTGGTCAAAAATCATCAACAATCAGTATTTTAAACTTCAAAGCCGTGATTCCGAAACAGATCGAATTTCAAAGTTGCACCTATGTTGCATTTGGGGATATTTGAGAAAAGTTTTCAGCCTAGATTTTTGAGGGTTTTGGTTGTCATCCCCGCGCGGCCCATCCGAGATCTCCCTCCCCACGCTTAAGATCATCTTTGTGTTCCAAAAGCCACTGTCTCACAGTCACAGGCTTCCTTCCAATCGTCCTCTCAACGAAATTGTTCAGGGCCCAGACCTCCTCGTGCGCCTCTTCAAATTTGAAGAAATTCCACAGGACTTGCGACAAATGAGGACCCATAACTTTGCCGTAAAAGCCAGCAAACGCTTCGTGGCTTCCGTCATACCCAATAGGCTCGTCAAAGATTTCTGACATGATAATTGACAGCTCTTTGAAGGTCATCAAGTCGTGCCCGTTGTTCATGGTGTGAAAGGCCCCAATGTGCTTAGCATTCGTAGAGAGGAAAAGCCTCCCAACAACCTCAGCAACGTCCCTCGGATCCATCCACGGCACACGATGCTCAGGCCAGATGACTGTCTTCTTCGCTAAGACGGCTCGCATCTGGATTGCAAGGTTGTCCATAAAAGTGGCTCCGCAGTTGACATACGTCACAGGAAGCCCGCTGTCGTCGAAGATCTTCTGCGCTATCCGGTGCTCGACGGGTAGGGAGCCAGGGCCAAGCTCAGGGGGGATCTTCGACGATGGGAATTCCGGGAACAAGCCCAGGAAGCGGATTATCTGAGTTGCACTGCCCGCTTGCTTCAGCGCAGAGACCAAGTCTGTCATGGGCTTTTCCTCGTGGAGTCCAGGGGGCGTTATCACGAAGACTCCCTCCGCGCCGGTTACGGCAGCCGACAGAGATGATGCATCGGCATAGTTGGCGACAACAACTTCGGCGTCTGGGAAGGCAGATTGAAGTTGCGCTTTCTTCGAGTCGTTGCTGGTGGCCAGGCGCAGTTTAGTCTCAGGCGCTTCGCGGGCCAAGAACTGCGCAAGCGGTCCTCCAATGTGCCCAGAAGCCCCGAAAATGAGGATCGTGGAAGGAACAGCTTTAATAAAGGTCGCCATTGTTGCGTTCGAGGGTTGATTGAGGTAAGTAATTGATTTGATCTGCTTGCTTGATTATCAAAGTAATTCTCTACGAATCTGGAAACCTTCAGCTTTTATTCTAACGGTTGGAGACGACCGGTCGGTGTGCGCCAGGGGATTGCGGTCCGGTCGGGCCTCGTGAAAACCACAATCGGCGACAAATGCTCCCGAAAGCCTAAACATTTCTACCGGTTTTGACAACTGGAAACCATTGCGAAGAGAGTTGTACCAGATGTAGTGGAGTTCATCCGGACTCCTCTCTCGGCATCTAATTTCCCAATCGGTCGAAATGACGCCGTGACCATATTATACATCCGCTGGGAAAAGCAACATCACCGCTAACCTGTTACGCTTAATTGAGTCCGCAGTTGACATGGCTTATTAATGCATCTGATTTAGATATTGATCGACCAGAATAGGGGATTATGGGAGACGTACCAATGTCTATCGCACTGATCGAGTTTCCCGTGGCAACAAGGCGCTGTGCGTACCGCTGTCTTGTTTGTTGGTTCACTAAAGGTTGCGTCGTCTCTGACGTGATGAACGCGTCAGATAGCAAACAATGTGTTCTTGGCTTAGGCAGAAGCATTAAACAAACCAACACATTAAAAAGCAGCCTATCATTACAAGGCAACAAGCAGTCTGAAACGGCAGTATTAGTATCGACTTTCGTCCTTCCTGAAAAATGGAGTCTAGAGAGCACTTCTGGTTCGTCAACCAAAGAGCGTAATTCGTTTCGCTGGCAGTCATCATGGGAGGCAACTTCTCCCTTCTTTCTCAGTCCCTTTTGGGTCAAGCTGTGCCGCACATCTCAGTCCGCATCACAGCATCGTCCGACCAGCTAAACATGACTGACGGAGTCCCCCTAACATTCTTCATCGAACTCACTTTACATCATTCTCAGCCCATCACATGGCGATCAGGTGGCATATTCGACGCTTCGACCGTCTTCCGTGACAATGGCTTGACCTTCAGAGACACATCAACTGGCCAACTTGTGCCGAGGAGCTGGATCTACATCCTTACCGAACCCGACGATGGGAAGATAACTGAAGAGAACAAAGGAGGATGGACAACACTGTACCCTGGAAAGGCGCACGTCTTGGAGCCGAAGTTCGAAGGGACATTGGGCCCTCAGTACTGGCCGCCGCCCCAATGGACAGGTGAGACAGAGGAGGAATGCAGGAATCGGCCGCACATCGTGACGTGGCGAGATGTGAGAGAGTTCAAGGATGGCGAAACCTATGAGGTTGGCATCAGCGACAGAGCAAGGATTGGACACTACTGGAACGGGACTAAAGACGACTTCTTGAGTGGTCGAAAGAAACAGTCTGACGCGACTAGCAGGTCTAGTCCGATCGAATACAAAATTGAGGAGACGGTATCCTTCACCGTAGTCGGCCAGACGCGGACGGAAGTTTGAACTATTTCTTGGATTAGGATCAGTCTTTATCTAGTAGCATTAATGGTGCATTGAGAAGTAATCACAACAATCGGGGCGTGGAATCATACAAGTTTCCAGCGCGATGAAATCGTTATCATTTATTCTTTGACATCATAGTATGTGAGCCGCCTTGTGTCGTCAACCACCCTACCACCGTCGATTATGCCAATAAACCCCCGTCACATTCAACTTTAACAGCCTAGTTTCGGGCAAACCTCGAGTGGTCTCTCGGAGCATTTCGATATACACCCATATGACCTCTGGCTCTCAGAAGCGCAATCCATCACGCAAGACCAGCCCTCTGCCTTGACGCACTCGTTCCATCCGCCGTAGGTGCATGCGCGGGCACCAAAGTTGGAGCGGGCGATGATGGGGCTGAATTGGGCTTCTCGGTTCAGCTCTCCGAGAACAGTCCAGATCTCATCGGCCGTAGCTGGACGGTCGGCGCCGGCAGCGAAGACCGAGATTGCGTGCGCAGCGAAAAGGAGCTGTATCAATGCGTCAATATTATGGGCGCACATGGGTGGTAAGTGAAACCGAGAATGTGGGCAGGAAACATACGAGTGAAGAGGGCTGCATGGTGGTAAGTATGGATAGCACTGGGCGTTCTGATAGATCACGGTCGTTTGCTTGATAAGGATGGTGACTATTAGCCCAGAGAAGCGAAAGAGACTGTTGTATTTGTAGATAGCCGCCCTGCGCAAGCTGCTGCGGGTAGAAATTGCATCTGGAGCAGTCGAGCTTTGAGTTTCTAGGCATCCAGGATAACCACATCAAGGGAGACGTTTCCTACGATTCCGGTTCGACGGGAGTAATGAGTAATTGACCTCGAGGGAGCCCTCGCGGGACTAGGCCGTCTTGGCGGCGGGTCGATCAACAGATACCCCATGCAGTGACCCGCGGTCAGCCAGTGTCGGATGTAAGCATAAAGTCCGGGGTCAGCACCAATAACCATCAGTGTTGGGGGCAGCGATTTAGTCATGTCAACACCAACGATCCTATTGGGAATGATCACGATAAGTTGAAGCTAAACTGGTTTGCAGGTTAGTAGTAATTTTCCAGAGACATCTCTTTAGCCGGACTAGCAAGAATGTTACGTGGCATTCGGCCTCCCACTGAACTAGACCTTTTGCAGATCTCCAACACGAATGATTGCGTGGTGTATGCCCTTGAACCAACGCGAACATACCTAAGCGACAAGAACCAACACGAACATAATTAAGCGAAACATAGGCAGCAGTTTAAAAACAAATAGCAACTCATGGACGCGCAGCTTTACATCCACAATCGGCTGTGCCGCTGCCCGATGAGTACGCGTCTTTGATCTGCGTTTCGCTTGACATTAGGACAACGTGCTGTCTTCAGTGTCGAAGCAGAGTTTATTAAGTGGACAGTCTCCCAAAGCACGAGAATGCCTCTTAGTTAGATCTTTGGATGTTTCACTCGGCATCTGACTGTATGAGGTAAGAGGCGAGTCTCCAGACTGCCCGTTCTGGTTCTGAGTGAAAGAGTCCATTGGAAAAGAACGGAGCTACAGGTTGAAAAGGCCTACGGAACTTCACTGGCGACACTTGGTGGGCCAACTTTCCAATTTTGTGATAGCTGACGTGCGACTCCAAAGTGGTTGCTGTCGGCGGTTGTTAGCATTTTCTCAAGGTTTTGCAGAAAGTCATAAACCTTTTGTTATGTTCTTGTAGGTCACATGTTAGATCAGTGAGATAGGAAGATTCATGTTCTCATCGAGTCATCCAATATTGCAGATAGGCGAACAGACTTGAGAACTTGAATAGTAGACCTGTGTAGCTTTGCGTAGGAAACCTCAGCTCGATGACTGTTTGAGCAACTTGAAGGTGCAGCTTCAGACCTAACAGGGTGATCGGAGTTAGGCTCAGTTGAGCTATAACTAGGCCATCAAATTCGATAATCTAAGCGTACCTTGGTTGATGTTCTTCCCCATATCGCATCACACAACTACAACACAAACAATTTCAACACACACGTCTACGCCATTTACATTTACTACATCTACATTCACTGTATTACAAACAGCAGCCGTAACAACCATCACTACCAGTGTCGGCAGCCGACAATCATAACGACCAATCCTTCAACATGGCAGCCGTCCAACCCAACATGATCACCCAGTTCACCTCTAACCACTCTCCGGGGCCTCTCCAACACATCGGCGAGGGCGCATGCGGCTCAGTCTGGTGCGCCTCTTCCAAATCCTCTCCATACAGCGCCGACATGCCCCTTGTCATTAAGCGCGAAGACATGTCCGACGTGCGCTCCATCACCCACGAGGCCGAAATGCATCACCACATCCTCCAAGCCCTCGCCAACCCTCGCGTAGCCACCACCCTCACCACCTTCCGCGTCAACATCCCCCTCTCCCAAGGCCTTCTCCACCACACTAACTCCGCAGCCTGGTCCCAGATCCTGCCCAGACTGCTCGCAGGCTACGCAGCCAGCAACGCCCTCGTTAGCGAGAAAATCCACCCCTTCCCCTTCCGCATGCGCAAGCTCCTGCTCAAGCAGTTGACGGCCTGCGAGAACCCGCAGAAGGTTGCGCAGGGGCATATGAACACGTACTGCCTGATCAGAGCGTACCTGGGCAAGAGGAAGTACAACCGAGTGGAGAAAGACGCGATGCCCGCGCATTTGAAGAAGCTGCGGCCGTATAGTCTGAGGAACTTTCCCCTCTGTGTCGACCAGATGGAGGACCTTGACCTCGATGTGGAGGGATACGCTGGCGCTTATGCACTGGACGGCCAAGGTCGACGCGAATGATGTCGAGTTCGTCCTGGGGCAGCGCCGGAGCGACAAGATTCAACAAACGCTGCCATGCATTGGGGAGAAGGACTTTGAGCCCGCGGCGCTGGGGCCGCATGCGATGTGGGTTCTAGATTTTGACTGCTGTCGTAAGAGGAGTATGGATGAGGAGGGGATCAAGACGGCTTGTAAGAGTTTTTAAAGGAATGATCAGTATTACCCGAGGCCTGGCAGCAACAGCCCCTCTGATCAGAGGCTTTGGGCTGTTTTCAGAGAGCAGTTCCTCAAGATGAGCGAGGGATTATTGGAAGGTGAGAGCGAAGGGGTCAAGAAGCTTCCCGTTATGCTCATGGACATGATTGAGGATACTAAGGGGAAGTCTCTGAGGGGAGGCTTGGTATCGGAAGATCGCATTGAGGGGCAGAAGTGAGAAGCTTTTCACTCCCACAAGCGAAAGACGAATGTAAGACGAATATGAGAAGTCTGATGTTTTTCAGGTTTCTCGGGAGATTGAATAGTTTACGAAGGGATATGGACACGCCGATAATGAGAGTAACGAGCAACACAAACATGCAATTCAACCACTTGAATATCTTGATGATCACAAAGTGCGCTAGAAGACATGTCCATGCCATTAAGATTCTACCAGTAACTTACAAGAGTCACACCTATTCCCACTCACTTACCCTCACGTCGCCTCACTCATGCACACCCATTCCAACCTCCCATCATACCGTTCCCATCATGGACATCACGCATCCCCAGCCAGACACCGGCATCATCCACAGATTCGCGACACCCAGAATCCGTCACGACTTTCCTTTTACACGCGTCGATCACCAACGCCCACTCGCCTCCTCCTTCCAAACATTCTTCCCAGCCCGTGAAGGGGAATGTTTACACGAGCGACTATTTTTGGTCGGTGAGGCAGGGGTCAGACACTTCGTCCGTTTCAGCACGCGCAAATCCCCTCAAACCCACAGAACGGGACCCAAAAGCCCGCCCACCTCATCGGAAGATAAAGAAAGAAACAAAAAGTGACAGGTTTTCTGACAGCGAGGGAATTACGTAAATGATGTCATTCAGGTGGTCGGGAGTGTGCTTGTGTCTTGCAATTTGCGAGCGTTCATCATTAGCCGTGATAATTTGAGCATTGTACAATGGTATCCTATCCACCCTCCTTTGACCCCCCCTGTCACTCCCGTCCGGTATGATGAATCTGATAAGCAAGAGGAAACAGGAAGGATTGTTGGCGGGGTTTGACAGGTAGAATGGCATCTCTAATTGAAGGTTTTATGCTTGACGCATTGTTCGGGCGACCCATCATCCGATCCTTGGACGGGGCCATCCCGGCACGAGCTTAAAAAATGTCGCCGTGTTTCTGATGTGTGCACGCTGTAAGGACTGTGGGTATTATTCGCATTGGGTGTAATAAAATCAAGGAAAACAGAAGAAAACAATCAGCTTCATCCAGGGCCGATGAACTTCCTATCAGGACCCCTCTCAGCCCGCGGCAGCTGTCCCGGTAGCGGGTTATACTGCGGCGAGTACTGCGGCGAGTATCGCGATATGGCTTGGGCCGGGTACTGCGGCTGTTGCTGGGGCTGGAACTGCGACTCCTGTGGCTGGAATTGAGACTCTTGCGGCTGGAACTGAGGCTGCGGCTGCACTGGTTGCTGAGCCGGCGGTGGCGGCTGGTAGGTGTCCGGGTTATACGGCTGGTACCCGATGTTGATCGATTCGCGGTACGGTCCCTGGCCGATGCCCTGGTACATATCGTACGTGGACGGCGGGTACGGCACCTTGGGGTACTGCACCGCCTGCGAGGACGGGCGCTTCATGGTGCTGATGCGCAGCGGCTCCGGGACGAACGGCGGCTCGTTGTTGGCGGTGGCGGGCTCGTTGATTGATTTCTCGTAGTAGAAGCTCGTCGTGGACAAATTTCTCGGCACGGCAGCGGCGGGAGGGGTGTCCTTCGCGGGCGGGGCCGGGATCGCGGCGTTGGCAGCCATGAACTGCGCGACCATCTGCTCCTCCATCTCGCGGGTGGTGCGGTTGGCGATCTTGGTTTGGCGGTAGGTCGCGACGAGGGTCTGCTCCATCTCCTTGGTGCTGCGCTTCGGCTGGCGGAGGATGGCGGACTCGCGGGGGAAGCCGGCGGCGGCACCGGCGGCGGGATGGTTGGACGGGGGTGGTGCGTTTTGCATGTTTTGGGAGACGGCGTCGACCTTCTTCCTGCGGTCGCGGCGTTTCTTGAAGAAGATGAAGGCGCCGATGAGGAGGCCGATCAAGGCTGTGGATATGTCAGTGGTCTGGTGAGGAGATTGTGATGAAAGGGGCGAATGACATACCGACGATACCGAAGGAGACCCCGATGGCAAAAGGGCGGTTGGAGTCTGGGGCGGGCGAGGGTGTTGCGGAGACCGCGCCGTTGCTTTCTTGCATCTGCGCGTTGGAGGGCACGATCTGCGGGTCTGATGTCCCCGAAGCGGCATTTCCAACTGTTGGTGGTGAAGGAATTGCTGACGGGGTTTCTGCTGCTGGTGGCGGCGGTGGCGGCGGCGTAGATGGTTGCACAGCAGGCGGAGGCGGCGTCTGGGAAGTCTGTCTTGACGGAGGCGGTTGCGGAGGCGTCGAATTCGGGGCGGCGGACGGAGTCGCAGCGGGCGGGTTTGATGATGGCGCGGCCGGAGGATTTGACGGGGGCGGCGCGCCGGGGACGAGCGTGATGAATCCCCTCGCCGGCGGGAAACTCGCCGGCACGGCGGGGTTCAGGGCGGCGGGCGGCGCAGTCGGCAGGATCGTCGGGTTCGTTGCTGCAGGCGGTGCGCCCGGGGCCGGTGACACGGAGGGCTTTGGTTGTTCTTCTTCCGAGTCACTGCTGGCGCTCGATTGCGCTCCCGGTTGTTGCTGCGCATCGGAATCGCTGGCGGAGCTGTTGGACTCGGCCTCTTGCTGAGCACCGTTGCCCTCTTCCGCTCCGGATTCCTCTTCCTTTTCCTGTTCTTCTGCCTTTCTGTTGTTTCCAGCCGGGCTCTCCTTCTCTTCTTCTTCTTCTTCTTCCTCCTCTTCCTCTTCCTTCTCCTGCTCGCCCTCCTTTTCTTTCTCTTCGTCCGCCTCGTCGCCGTCGTCCTGTCGAATAGCTATCCTCGGCCCTTGGCGACGGACCAAGTTGTGGCGCGGTCTGCCGGGGAACTTGGGCTCCGTCCTCCTCCTCCGTTGTCTACCCAACACCATCAGCTTCATCATTCGGGTCGTCGATGACCATGTTTAACCCACCTGAAAGTCGACCAAGTCGTGGTCCCCTCCATCGTGAAACCTCTTCCTCCACGTCTTCCTCAAAATTACCAAGACTTTGACGAAACGGACAAAATAAGACGGTAATGCGGCCAGCGGTAATCAAGAATGGAACAGAAAACAGCACAGCTGTGGAAGTCTAAACAGAAAAGAACAAGCGCAAGCGCTTCATGGAGAATGGAACTGGTCGAACCCGCCGAGCCCTTGAACAGAAAAAAGCAAATCAAGAGCCAGCAGAGAAAGCCAAGGAAAGAGAAAAAAAGGGAAGAGAAAGAAACCCTCCCGGGAGTTACCACCGGCGCCTTCGGGGGATGCTTCGTATTATTCAAATGTCGCCTACGGACGCCCGCGTAGACCTACCTTCTCCCGCTGTCTCCTCCCCGGCACTCGGACATAAAAGAAATCCCCAAAGCTCCCTCCCCTCCAACACCACCCATGTCCTATCGCGCGCCTCACATCAAACATCTTCCAAGAAAACGGGGAACAAGGGGGGCTTCCAAGTGATGAACGTTCGCTGCCTCCTGCGTTGTCGAGATGGGTCTCCCTCCACGTCTGTTGTGTGTGGTGCGACAGGTGCACGCGAGTAAACCTCAGTCATGACAGGGGGCCATGAAGCGTCCATGTGTCCAATCACAGAACACCGTCAACCGGACATTCAGCGCAGTTCGCCTCCTCGAGCAGCGCCGGCGGCCGTTCGTGTTCACTGTCCAGCAGCGGCTGGAGCCCTTCTGCCGCGAAGAGTCGCACCCAGGGGCTGGGCTGGGGTTTCAACTGTCGACGAGACCCGTGCCGCTGTCACCCGCATGCCGCACCAGAGAGGCCCCCCTCGGCCGTGTTTGACGCGCACCTTGGCGCTTGGCCTGACGGCGCCTGAAACCTACCTAGGTAGGAGATGCAACTGCGCTGGAGCTGTCCGTACGTACGAATAGGCGGTTTTGCTGTGCTTTTTCACCATCTTTGGCCGCCGGGTCGGGGCTTTTCTGTTGCTCGACAGCATTCATCTCCACTTGGGCGCCGCGAGAACGGGGTAGACAGGGCTCGAGGCGAGGATTGAGCTCGCGTGGGAAAGGGTCTTTTTCGTTGGGGTCCCTGTAGGAGGTTTAGAAACATTGCTCGTCTTTTTTTGATTGTCCGCCCCGACTGGCATCGCACCAGGGCCGCTCGACTCTCACGATCATCACCGCATTCTCCTTTTGATCGGGTCATCGAGGCCGCTGCGTCTAGACTGTGTCGTCCACCGGGCATGATGGCGTGCATGAACACAGGAACCAAGAAAAACGAAAACTTAGCAGGTTGTGCCGAGAGATTGACGCCCTCATCGTCGTCACCACGAACACGGCCCGGCCGGAGACGAGTCGCGATCACCGCCAGGATGCGCCGCCGGCCGTCTTATCAATCAGGTCAACTCTTGCCGACGCCAACAAGTCGCGGGACTCGTCAGGTCTGAGGACCAGCCAAATCTCCGTCGCCGGCCGCTGCACTCTGCCAGCTGTTTGGTCAGTATCTGGGGTAGCAAACGGGCCATGGGGTCTTCTCGTCCGGTTTGTGGTTCGCTGAGTGAGGAGGATGCCGTGGGCCGCCCACCACGGGGTCGTCGATGAAACTGGAAATGCATGGGCGCCCTGCGCGCATCCCTTTTGTCTTTTGCGATTTGTCTCCTGACGATGACGTTGGGATTCTGGCTTTCTCCTCGTGTCTGGTGAAGTCTTGGTATTTCTATTAACACGGCCGAGCTGCCTCTCAACGTCCTTCTGGGCGCGCGCCTGGTGTTCTTCGAGCCGTCCTCGGTTCGATTAACCTTTCCGGCTGCGATACCCTCCGGAGGCCATGCATCATTCTCACAGACGGGCGATGACTGAATGATCTGCGTCGGCTGGGCCGTGGATGACATGCGCATAATAATCATCTCGCTCTGGTGATTGCACGATGGCAACCGATCAATACAAATTTCGCCAACGTGGTTATGTTGAGTTGAGCTTGTCGATAGCTGCGATGCCTGGTGATATCGCAAGTGGTGGCTGAAGCTCCGCCTGATGTTCAGACAGCGCGGTCTGCGGCCTGTCCTTCTTCGCTGGAACATCGGCATTCATCCAATGTTTAAGCCATGACCAGGCGTCGGGACAATTCTTTACTGCGTGACAAACATTTTTGACCCGCCAAATCATCGCAGCCAATGCATCAGCAGTACTTGAGGCTCTGTCATTACGGGGGAAGTGGGATGCCGGTCGCAACACTGCGTCCCTCTATCGGGCCTTGTAGCGAATGACACGGCTTCTTGGCGTTAGGGTGATATCAGCGACGGCCACTCACAATGCACATCTGCGAATCCGCCGCATTCTCTCTCTCAATCAGTAATTCCCAGTCCTTGATGCCCATTTTGAGCAAAACGTAGCTGGGCGTGTACTTGCCGCATCTTCTGTCGCTGGCCGAGCCGTTACTCAGTGATTTGTTTTCACCTGGGCGCATTCTCCACTAGTGCACAGGCTACTGCTAAGGTAAGATTGAGAGCTGAGCAATTGCCACATGTTGATATCTTTCTCGAATTTTCTTCTACTCTGAGCATTTCCATTCCTACTTAAGGTAATGGACTTTCAGGTAATGTATCAACTTCCTCAATTGCGTAAGCAGAACATGCGCGAAGCCATGCTGGGATGAATCTATCAAGTGCAGCGTTAGCCGCGCAGCTTTCACAGCGGCTGTTCATCCAGAAGAATGTTTGACGCTGCTAGTATGGGGTCAACGCAACCAAATGAAAATGTTCCTCTGGCTGTTGGCCCCAGTTCCTAGAAGTATCACCACCTTCATGCACGCTTCTTAAACTAAGTCTGGCTTTCATGATGTCTGGCGTCATACACATCATCTTGCTGTGGCGGAGAGACTTCTTTCCTTAGCAGATGCTGTACTTGGTGAACTAGATATTTGATCGCCCGGGTTTCATTCTCAAGCACTGCAGGCTGCCTGAAGGTACGAGCGCTCAGCTGATATAGCCACGACCATCAATAACCAATCGCTGAACTGGTATCTTGGATGAACAACATGTGCCGATGCAAACGTCCCAAGGGCTCAAAACCCTCACCTTCTTCCCGGTCCGGTCACATCATCGGCATCTCGTCAATCAAGTTTTCCAATCTTACAGGTATCTCACAAAACCCTCAAGGTACCCAGGGTCCTACTGCCATTAGTCCCTGCTTCCCTGGAAACTTTCCCGATTCGGGGAGGGCGTTCCTGGGAGAACGGCCCCGGTGGATGTCCCCTCGCCCAATCACAGAAGCCCCGATTCCTGATGACCGCCCCGGACTCAAGCCAGCCAATCCCGTGTTGCAGCCCCCGTGGTCATATCGTCAGCACCCGGATGGCCCGACTTACACGACGCATGCTCGAGACACCTTGATGGCGCTGCTATCTCTTGGGAAAGACGATCAGATATCAGTCGAGAAATTGTTAACAGAGACGATATAAATATGTTGTCTTTGGGAGAATTGGGACTGGCTGAAAGATTCACCCGGCAAATCATCCTTTGTTTTTTCTCTCTAGCCAACAGATAGGGTTACACGATCATCATGGGCAAAAGGCTTTCTGCATCTTCCACGAAGCCCAAGTCGGGTGGCGTCGTGGTCCCAGGCACAGCAACGCCGAAAGTCAATAGCGACGCCGTTGCGCCCAAACTCACACGTGCCGATTCTGGTGTCGATGTATCCAAAGCAGCCCAGGGCAAGCCACTGCCTGTCACACTACTCTCTGGCTTTCTTGTATGCAATCTCAAAGCTTCACTGCGGGTGGTCTTGACTAACACCAAAGCAGGGCAGCGGAAAGACAACCCTCCTCCAGCACCTCCTCAAGAGCGACCACGGCCTTCGCATTGCCGTGATCGTCAACGATATCGGAGCGTGAGTCCTCATCTTCCCATCGTCCCCGACAGCTCACTGACAACCTTCTCCGCCCAGTGTGAACGTTGACGCATCCCTGATCAAGAAGAGCCACAAAATCACAAAGACAGAAGAGAAGGTCATCGCCCTGCAGAACGGCTGCATCTGCTGCACCCTGCGCGGTGATCTCCTCGAGGAGCTGGTCCACCTCGCCGAGCTCCACGAGTTTGACTATGTCGTCATCGAGAGCAGCGGCATCAGCGAGCCCGAGCAGGTCGCCGAGACCTTCGATGCCCGTCTGGCCGAGCAGATGCAGGCTATGGGCGAGGGGCCCGAGGGGCTTGATGAGGATACGCTGAAGCTTCTCAAGAGGCTGTGAGTTCTTCTTTCTCTGGATACAGGCATGAGACTTTTTGACTGACGCTGTGTGTGCAGGGCTGACGCCGGCGGCGTAGACAAGTTCGCCCGCCTCGATACGACCGTCACTGTCATCGACGCCTTCACAATCTTCAACGACTTCCACACGAGTGACCTGCTCTCCTCAAGACGAGACGATGTTGTTCCCGAGGATGAGCGGACGGTGTCGGATCTCATGGTTGACCAGATTGAGTTTGCCGATGTGATTGTCTTGAACAAAGTAGACATGGTTAGCATTCCCGCGGAACTCATGTTGGTGTCGGTGCTAATGAGACACGACGTATGCAGGTTACGAAGACCGATCTCGCCCGCGTCCTTGACTTGATTAAGAAGCTCAACCCGAGAGCGAAGGTCCTCGAGGCCAACTACGGCAAGATCGACGTCAAGGAGATTGTCAACACCAACACCTTTGACCTCAAAGTCGCCCAGTCAGGCGTTGGCTGGCTGCAGGATCTGCATGCCATGACAGTCCGCGAAGTCAGTCTTCACTCGCATCCAACAGGACCTCAAAAAGTCCCTTGCTAACTTACATCATCGACAGGTCAACGGCCGCAAGAAGATCACACCCAAGCCCGAAACCGAAGAATACAACGTCCGCAACTTCATCTACACAAGAACACGCCCCTTCAATCCCCGCAGACTATGGTCACTCCTCTACGACAAGTTCATCCTTCAAATGGAAGCCCCCGAAGGCGACGAAGACGAGATGGATGAGGATGAAGATGACGCCGACATGTGCGACGTCGAGAAGGAAGACGAGGAATGGGAAGACGACGAGTCCGAAAAGGACGAAGACGAGGACGAGGACGCCGACATGGAAGACCCCCTCGAACCCCCATCAAACGACGTCATCCTCGCCAACAAAACCGCCCACCCGCTCTTCAACCGCCTCTTCCGCTCCAAGGGCGAGTTCTTCCTCGCGACGCGGCCACACCGCGCAGGCGACTGGTCGCAGGCCGGCGCGATGCTGACCATGACCGGCGGCCGGCCGTGGTTCTGCACGCTCGCGCCGGAGGACTACCTGACGGGCGACCCGGAGGTGGACGCGCTGGTGCAGCACGACATCAAGAAGGGCGGGGAGTGGGGTGATCGCCGGCAGGAGCTGGTGTTCATTGGTGAGAACCTTGATATCAAGGGGTTGGAGGCGGCGCTGGATGAGTGTCTGCTGAATGACGAGGAGTGGAAGAAGTGGCAGAAGGTGATGAGGAATAAGAAGTGGGATGATGAGAAGAAATTGGACAAGCTGCAGGATATGTTTGATGATGGGTTCCCGGATTGGGCGGATGATGAAGAGGACCATGAGGGACATGACCATGCATAAGGGGTAGACAAAAGTTCACCATAGAGTATAGAAAGACTTCAAAACACGTTATGACTTTTTTTTCTGGCGCTGCACAAAGGAATGCGTCACGTTCATTTATGCCAGATATTTCGTCTCTTTCAACATTGCATATGAGTGAGTAGACATTCCACATCCAAAAGGTCTCCACCTTGTGAGAAGTAGAACTTGCTGTCCACTCAAGGGCTTTTCATCTTCAACACACACTCAAAACAGATGGACATGATTCAGGTTCAGTCATCGATCACTATTAGGCAAGACACAAACATCACATGACAACAGCATGCGGAACTTATAGAATGATCTCATATATCAAACATGAGGACGCCTCGGCACAAAGGATCGTCCGATATCTAATCGCATTTACATCCAGTGTCTTAAAGTCATACTTATGTACAAGAAATGATGGTGTGAGCAAGCAAACACCCAAGTGGGCATCGCAAGCTCCGGCTTATCAACACAACTGCTTCCAACTTTTGTCTATCCACATCCTCCTCCTCAGTCTCTCAGAGAAGAGACGCTTAGTAGGCGGCGCGGGCAAGGTGGCGGCGCATGGAGCGCGCACGGCGGCGAGCAGCGGACTTCTCGCAGTCGTCAGAAGCACCGGTGGGCGCGGCGCTGGGCTGAGCGGCGGCGGTGGGGACGGTGGTGCTGTTGCCGCCGTTGTAGTCGGGGATGCCGGCGGAGGGGGCAGCGGAGGAAGAGGGAGAGGTGGGGGTGGAGGGAGAGGGGGTGGTGGCACCCTCAGAGCCGGTGCAGTCGCCGTCGGAGGTCTGGCCGAGGAGGTTGGCGGTGTGGTCCTCGCAGGCGTTGGGCCAGGTGACGGGGCCAGGGGCGGTGTAGTTCTTGGGGGCAGGGTAGTAGATGTTGATCAGGACACCGGGCTCGTTGCCAGTGTAGCCGCCGGGGAACTTGATGGTGGGAGCAGGAGTCTCAGAGCCAGTGCCGGTGACAGTGACCTGGGCGCAAGCAATGTAGTACTGAGCACCTCCGGCGGTGCCAGCTCCGTGAAGACCAATGTGCTCAGCGCGGATGAGGTAGTCTCCGGAGGGAGTCTCCTTGGGGACGGTGAAGGTGAAGTTGTGGATGCCCGCGTTGTTGACGTAGGAAGCCCACTGGAGGCCGGCGTCGGTGATGTCGGAGGTGGTGAGCTCGTAGACCTTGAACCAGTCGCCGTCACCCTTGTACTCGGCGGCGGAGGAGGGGGCCTTGGACATGTAGACCTGGAGGGGGCCGGGGTGGCCCATGTCGTTCTCGACGATGAAGCCGACCTCGTCGCCGGCGTTGATGGCCTTGGTCTTGGTCTTGGCCAGGACGTCGTCGTCGTTGCCGCCCTTGTTGCAGACGAAGTCCTCGGAGGCGACGTCGGTGACGGGGGAGTTCGAGTTCTTGGCCTCACGGACGAACTCGTAGCGCTCGGTCTCCTCACCGTTGACGATCAGGGTGGGGAAGACGTAGTGGGCGGTGGCCTGGGACACGAGGGCCGCGGCGGCGAGGAATCCGTAGGTACGCATTTTGATCGGTGTGTTTGGGGTTGTGTTGGTAAAGAGAGTTGGTGGTTGTGGTGGTGAAGAAAGATTGGACGGGAAGAAAATGAAGCTTGATTTTCCACCAGGGAAGGTAAAGAATGAATGGTTCAAAGAAAGAAAGTGGTTTGTACAATGACAAAAGACACAGCGATGGATGGTTGAGAACGAAGAAGCAAGAGGGATTCGGACAGGATGGTGAAGAAGAGGTTGTCTTATATCTCGAGCCAACTCACTCACCCCTGGCTGCCGTTGGCTATCAACCGCTCATGGTGTCCCATGCATACGGACCTGACGAGAATTCTCCAGCCCCAGCTCCCTGCTCATTTGGCTTCCTAATTCTGGGCATCGTGGGTCGTTGGCGCGAAAGGGGGCGCTTCGCTCATGTTGTCTGCAGCCAGGGGCCCCGAAAGAAGCTGACTTGGACGACCAGAATCGAAAGGGCGAGGTTCGTTTGAAACATTGGAGCGACCCATACGCAGGATCCAATTCCACCAAACACGGTCCTCGCCGCCGGGGATGGGTCCCTGATCGGGTCACAACTAAAGTACGGTTGACGACATCGACCCCTGGAGGTGCCGCCCACGTTGGGGGCATCACGGTCGAGATGTGGTCGCCAAGCTTGGCTCATGCGCCGATTCCCTTATCATCCTGTTCATCTAAAGTTGCCTGGAGAGACGCTCGCGTAGCGGACTCCCCTGCAGACCACAGCTCCTCGGCTGCGTGAGCCTGGCCTCGGTGCCCCGAATCGGTCGCTCATAGATTGCCCTACATCCACCCAACGACCTCTTTCGAGTTAGCCGCTGGGCGGATTTCCTCTACCTGCATGCCCGTCAAGGCTTGTCGCGTTTGAGCGTTGGCAAATGTCAATTTCGGGCGACAAGCCGAGTTTGCTTGTCAATCCCCGGCGCCAGTCATCGGTTGCCGGTGGATAAACGTGAAGAAAAAATCGATATATGGCTTTGAGGCCTGTCAATATTGGTTACCGTTCATCTGAACAATAAAGACAACCTTCCTTTGCGAAGAATCAACGCCAAGAGACATGTTTCCCCAGATCCAATATGTGTAACTTTCGTCTGAAGAGGAAGATCGCACCGCGGCAGTGATGTGCTGAACTCTGTCATGGTACCTGATCGACGCGCCCGTGGTGGCATTTCACCTGAAACATGGGTCAACCAGGGGCGGGCTCTGCGATGGTGTGAAAAAGCGCTGGCTGTGTGTTCCCTGCCGCAGATCACTTTACACGGGACGAAATTCCCACCAGAAAGAAAAAGGGAGTTCCACAGCTGTGCCGTGCCCACTGCCCACCGCCATCAATCGCCAGCGCTTGGCAATCTGTGGAAAGTTCGGTATCATCCAGAACGTGCCAGTCAGCTTAGGTTGCCATTTGCGAATCTCTCGGCTGTTACAGCCGAGACTTTTCTGCACCTGGATGGCTTGCAATTGGGCACTCTACGTTGCGCGAAAGCAACGTGACGGCCAGAGATTCAACCAGCATGGCGCCTGGTTGGAGGCATTATGTCAGCCCTGTCCAAGAACGATCCGGCGCTTCGCATTTAGAGTGAAAATAAAGAAAATAAAGTGCAGTTGCTAAGTGCCGCCCATCCGAAATATCATAACAGCCTTCGGTAAGAGCTGGGTCAGCCAGCTGTCCGGTGCTCCCATCCCACGTTGATAGGCAACATGCCTGTCGCAGCTCTTTCAGGAGCCGCTAGGGGCCTTAGTCAGACTTGAACCCAAGCAGCCGTCCCCTTTTCCCCCCTCCCCTATCACGGAGGGGGGGTTTGAGAAAGACAACGTTGGTCCCATCCGCAATCATCGCTACTATCGGGCTCCATGGATGCAGGGAAGAGCCGATGGGATGACCGAGTGAGAGGAAAGATTCCGTCCAGCAAAATCACAGTATTTGCGGCGGTGTCACAACCGCACCGTCATAGGCTCAGCAACCGATAGCGACCCAGTGTTTAAAAGCTCTGCCGGAACCCACCGATCCTGCCCATTTGTCTGCTCCGCGCTCTTCGCATCATAGACCCGAAGACAGCAATGATATGCTTATCGTGGGGATGCGATTCATTTCACGCAGAGGTTAGGCCGTGTGGTTTCAGGGCTATCATCAGGTTGATGAAGCTATGTATGAGAACTTGACCGCCTGTCATCTCGTCTTCTTCTCGCGCCAAGTCATGCCCTTTGACTGTTCGACATAGGAAAAGTCGACCGACGGTATTGTATGAAGATTGCTTAAGAAGCTCTGTGCCCTTCTGCTGGGGTGCATGTCAAGGAAAAAAACTAGAGAAATAAGCATCTGTCAAGCCCACTTCGTGTTCACTCCGGAGTTCCTGAAGAAGTCGACAGAATCCGCTTAATCGGAAATCGGAACACCAAGCGAGTGTCGGGTCCGCAGCGGAGCCGACATCGATGGCGTTGGATTTCGGGAGCGCGGGACGGCGCCTATGGTGAGAATGACGCAGACACTTATTTGGCCCGTCGTGGTTAGTGTGACGTGTGTGTGTGTCTCTCGACCGCCTGCCAAACCCGTACCACCATCGAGACCAATCTCTGCAGAAGAATAATACACGGAAGAAATTGGGCAATATCGTAATAATTCTATTCTCCTGGCTGTCTGGGTATCGTGTATGCTAGACAAAAACCAAAACCAAATACCCAAATGAACTATGACGCTTCATCAATCTTCCGTGCCTCTGCAGATGTGCACCTTGGTCCTCCGTCATAATGGTCGTGTCGATATGGATGCATTTCCCTCAACTTGTAATATACCCGCTGGAAATTGAATATTCATGCTCGGACGGAGCGATCCGCTCGCTCTACTCGTGATCCTTGTCTCCCCCGGCGGCCTGCGGCTGTCCCTTCTCAGCCTCTTCTTTCTTATCTCCTCCTAGTTTGTACCACGGCCCATGTATCGCACCAGCGCCGACGCCGACCAAGAGCCCGACTGCCGTCGTTGGAATGGCCGCGACGCCGCCAACGACCCCAGTCACGACGGTTCCCACACCGGCACCCAGCCCAACGCCCACTGTGGCACCGATGCCTGCGCCACCCAAGCCACCCTGCCAGATGCCGCTCTGCAGTCTTTGCGCGTCCCGCGACAGCGCCTTGGCTTTGTGGTCGTGCTCAGACGCCTCAGCTAGTATCTTGTTCTTCTCGTCGGCGTCTTCGACGGCATCGCTGCGCTGGCGGGCCTCGTTGGCGGCTTCGGCTTCTTGTTGTGCCTTTTCGAGCTTCTCTGTGGCTTGTGCAAGGATCTGGTCCTTGCGGCTTTGCTTTTTTTCTTCGGGCGGTGGCGAGGAGGACATTGGACAATACTGGGGATGGTGCTCTGAACTTGGAATGTGGATTGCTGGGACGGGTCTAGGAATTCTAGAAGTTCGTCTGATTAGGATAGCTCGAAGTACTTTGTCTCTCTGAATATCAGAAGAGGAGTACGCGTTGTTTTAGAAGTCTTTGGTATCGTTAAGGTTTTAGCCACATTGACACCTGATCGCTGACATCACTCGCTTATTAGTGCCTCTTGCCCACCTATGATGTGGCTATGATCCGCCACACAGTAACGACTTTTGATTTTCTTAAATGCATACACTTTCCGATATTGCATGAGACATTTGCTTATCCGCCAACTCGATACGCAACTAATTACGCCTAGGCATGGAAGTCTGCTACGGTTTGCGAGTACGGATGGATGATGTTTCATCCCCATTTGATAAATCACCTTGAATATGCGAATACACAATCGGTTCCGTCTCAAAAAGGAGTAAAAATCGTCAAGGCCTCCTTGGGTTGGTTTTGGGAAGCTTGGTTGACATGACCACAAAGCTGAATTGGCGACCTTCTGCGATCTGGTTTTGGCGTGTCTGAACTCTTCGATTTGCACTTTACTAAAGGACACGATCAAATTGAAGTTCAATGAGAAGGAGAATGATTCGGTCAAGCACTTCTTACACTCACATACTTTTGCTATGGATTGCCAATTGCCAAGGCTACGCAGGCTTCATATCGCATCTCATCGCTGAAAATGATTGATCAATCTGGCCTTGAGGCCGAAATGCTGCCACATACTATGCGCACCACTACGGAGGATATTGAGGATATTGACCGCGACAAATCAGCTGACGGGACAATGATGAAAGTTTTACATCATCAGTCTGAAGACGGTAGCTCGGATGGAGAGGGATCTGACCTTCTACCGAGTCATCCGCCGCGGCTAGACCAGACAAATCCGGCCATCGACCTTATCGATGACATGTCTGACGACCAATTTATGGTTATCGCTGACCATATGCGCCTACAAAAGACCGTTTCGAGTTTTGTCATGGTCGTCATAAACCTGAGACAAGAGACGGTACCCGATGATGCCGAGGGAGATACCCCTACTGTTGTACAATCAGAGGAGGTCAACTCTACAACAGCGAGTGGCGCCTCTCAACAGAGAGGAAAGGGGGCATCATCTGCACCAGAAGCCACAGAAAACACGACGGCAGAGCCTGAATTTACAGTACCTCCATCGGCAAAGGTCTCTGGGACGCGGGCGACGTTCGATTCAAGCGGTTACGACCAAAACGCGCCGCGTGCACCGTTTGAGGCCACAGCGGACAATCCGATGCCGCCGAAAGATAGTTATTGGGGAATGCCAGGATATTCGTCTCCATATCCAGGGCCAAGGGCCGAAGATTATGGCTACAGCCCACAACATGGATCATACCGTCGTTCGCAAATGCCGGCGTCGTCCCCTCTTGGATTCCAGCGCCCCGTACACGATCTGGAAAAAATAAGATTGCAGGAGGAACTAGCTTTTCTTCGTAGTGACCGGGCAAGAAAAGAGGAGGAGGAAAAGAACAGACAGGAGGAGAAGGTTAGACAAGCCGCCGAAGACGCTATCGCGAGACGAATGGAAGACGAGAAAAGAGCCAAGGCCGATATCATGAGAGAGCAGGAAATAAAAGCACTCAAAGACGCTTACGATAGGTTTAAGGCGGAGACAAATGCAAGGAAAGAAGCTCACGATAAGGAGCAGGCAGAGGCAAAGGCAATAAAAGATGCCGATGCTGCAGCGACGGCGGCAAAAGAAGCCGAGAACCGGCTAGTCGATGAAGTGAGAAGCCGAACAGAAGCCGAGATCAGGAATAAATTTGAGGAAGAACGAAGAGCCGAAAAAGAGACAAAGAGAAGAAGCGGGTTGCAGAAGCTCTTTAGTTGGAAATAAAAAGATCACCCGAAGGGGATATCAATTAGGAGAATAGAAGCAAGACTCTATCCCAAGGATGCAAGCATTTCTTTGCTATTGTACAGTCTGCGGTAGCGTACTGACCTTACTGACCTCGTCTATACAACTTATGCTACAATGCTATTGCTGATTATGTCGGAGGCCTGGACGAAATTAGCAGCTGTAAACCCTCACAGTATGGTCGGAGCCGGTGCTGCGGGTCCGGGCTTCCGACCAATGCCCGATATGGGGCCAAAGGCCGTGTCCGCATTCCGAGAAGGCCGGCTCTTACACCCGAATGTCAGTGGCCAGTCATTAGGCGGAGACTTGTCAAGACATCACTTTTGAAAAAACAAGACTTTTTATATCTCTACAACGTTCACTTGGTATCGCAATTGACAATGATTGGTCTCCAACATCCCTTTGATTGTGGGTCCCCCAGGAAGGGCCGTGTAAACATGATCTGCAGGGGTTATTCAGCGGTCTGGCTGACCAAGTCCTGAACTAAGACAATTTCGACTGAGAAATTCTGGCTTCCTTTAATCCGACAAACTCTGTCAGCTTGCTGCTCGAGCAATTGGGTCATGCGGATCTTAAAGATACGGAAATAGCGCCCGGAAACAGACTGTGTCGGGCTTTTTCCTTTTCCCCGGATTTTGTTAATGCACGTCGCCGTAATCCCCCCGCACTCACCCCCACGGATGCTGACATGGTGATGGCATCGGCACCCTCTTATGTATCTCGTTTTGAATCTGGTCATTTTCTACGGAGTCATGGACAGTTCCAAATCACTGCTGAATCTAATACAAGACCTCTGTCAACATGCCAGATTCAAGATGAAAGTAACCCAACATTGACAGTCTTGGAGAATCTCCAAGAAGCAGTTCAGCCCAAGCAAGCTCCCTTGCTTGACCCCGCGAATTCAAGTGCGGAGAAGCAGGCAAACTAGCAGCGTGCCACCCGCCCTGCGTTAATGCACCCGCCCCCCAATCTGGGGTAATTCGAGCCGCCAGTGGGTCCCCCAAACTGCCCGTATCAAGGCATACTTCAAAGCTATTCGAGCACGACGCATCCCTTCCTCCTAGGCGTCTCCAATACGGCCGCTTCTGTGATTTGCCCGGGACATTCCCCGCGAGACCCGCGCTGTAGTTATGGGACCCCCGCGCGCGCCCGCCCAAACGGAGGGCAGCTGCTTGCGCACTATCGGCTGCAGCTGAGAGACAGGTTGAGACAGAACCCTGCGCGGGGGAACAGACGGGAACCTCTGGTTTCCAACCTTGGTAGCTCCGCGGCCAACGAAACTCCACAGATTGGGGAAACTAGTTGAGTCGGACAGGGCGGACACCCGCATCTTTTGGCGCATATTCGCACACAGAGCTGCTTGTCTACGGGCGTACAGCAGCATGAGGCCGATCTATCCCCGGACGAACCCCTCATCCTACGTGTCGCGATGAACCCCGTCAGGTGATGTCACGACTCAGCCTCCGGCGCGGAGGAACGGAAAGCTCTCTCTCTCTTCTTCGTGAGGGGTAGCATTGTTCATAAATGTTGCTGCTGGACCTCCAAGGTTGACGATAGCTTCGATTATCCCAGGCCCGGACTTCTCTTTCGTACGCACGCACGACTAGATCGTCCTATCCGCGAACAACTGCACGCACGCACCATGGCTGGAGCATTTCCTCACAATGATCGGATCGAGCCCGGCTCGGTAAACCTTCCTGCCCGCCCGTATCCCCCATCAGTTCGCTCGACATCGGTTGATGCGGGGAAAGTGGCGGCGGACACCATCAACGCCTTCAGCGCCGCGCTGCGATCTAAGAACTACAAAGCTCTCGCAGACCTGTTTGTCTCAGACGGCTACTGGCGCGACCACCTCTGCTTATCCTGGGACCTGCGCACTCTCAAGGGGAGGGAAAAGACCCAAAAGCTGTTGAGCGACCGTTGTCGTCTTACCGAGGTCGCCGTCGACACATCTACCGAATACCGAGCTCCCCACCTGGCTGCCCTCGACGCTCACGGCAAGGTACAATGTCTGCAGTTCTTCATCAATGTGAACACCCAAGTAGGCCCTGGCCAGGGTGTCGTTCGTATGATCGAGTCTGATGGCAAGTGGGAAATTCTCAGCTTCTTCACCGCCCTCAGAGAGATCAAGGGTCATGAAGAGCCTCTCCGACACCGCCGTGAGAAGGGCGTTGAGCATGTTGGTATCCGAGACGGAAAGAACTGGAAGGAAAAGCGAGAAGACACGGTCAACTACACCGACACTGAGCCTACGGTTGTCATCATTGGTAAGTAGGCCTGTACCTCTTTGCGGCGAGGAGATTGCTCACACACATAAACAGGCGGAGGTCAAGCTGGATTGACTGTTGCTGCTCGGTTGAAGATGCTCAATGTGAATGCATTGGTAGTTGATAAGCACGGTCGGGTTGGCGATAGCTGGCGCAAGAGGTATGGAAATCGCCATGTTAGGAATGAATTTTGCTGACTTTCGTGAACTACAGATACCATCAGCTCGTTCTCCACGACCCCGTCTGGTACGACCACCTACCATACATCAGCTTTCCAGCAAACTGGCCCATCTTCACTCCGAAAGATAAGATCGCCGAGTTCTTTGAGTCCTATGCCAATCTCCTCGAATTGAACGTGTGGACCTCAACGACAATGACCAAGTCATCCTGGGATGATTCCAAGAGGCAGTGGACTCTGACCCTCGACCGCCAAAAGGCAGATGGCACGAAAGAGACTCGAGTCCTGCACCCAAGACATGTCATCCAGGCAACGGGCCACTCTGGGAAGATGTTCTTCCCCGACATCAAGGGGATGGGCAACTTCAAAGGCGACCGGTTGTGCCACAGCTCCGAGTTCTCCGGCGCGAAGCCCAACTCCAAGGGCAAGAAGGCTGTGGTTGTCGGATCATGCAACTCAGGCCATGATATCGCCCAGGACTTCTACGAGAATGGCTACGACGTGACGATGGTGCAGCGCAGCTCGACCTGTGTCGTCTCTTCAGCCTCCATCACAGAAATCGGCCTCAAGGGCCTCTACGACGAAGACTCACCACCAGTTGACGACGCAGACCTATGGCTGTGGAGCTTACCAGCCGAACTATTCAAGTCTCTCCAGATCGGAACGACAGAGCTGCAAAACGCCAACGACGCCAAGCTTCTCCAAGGCCTGCAGAAGGTCGGCTTCCAGCTCGACATGGGCCCCGGCGGCGGGGGCTTCTTCGTGAAGTACTTCCAGCGGGGCGGTGGGTATTACATTGACGTCGGATGCAGCCAGCTCATCATCGACGGCGAGATCAAGATCAAGCAAGGGCAGGAGATCACAGAGATTCTGCCTCGCGGGCTGCGGTTCGCCGACGGCTCCGAGCTCGAGGCGGACGAGATCATCTTCGCGACCGGGTATCAGAACATGAGGACCGAGGCGCGCAACATCTTTGGCGACGAGGTCGCCGACAGGATCGGTGACGTCTGGGGCTTCGACGAGGAGGGCGAGTTCAGGACCATGTGGCGGCGGAGCGGGCACCCCGGATTCTGGTTCATGGGGGGCAATCTCGCCATCTGCCGGTACTTCTCTAAGATTTTGGCATTGCAGATCAAGGCCGTTGAAGAAGGCATCGACCAGGCTGGGCAGCCCGACCCCTCGCCCAGGCTTTAGGTTTTGATACCCGATGGAGTTTGTGTAGGGTGCTGTGATTAGATGCGGGCGCAGAAGATGTAATTATTCCCTGTCAGACAGATTCAATGGACGTTTTTTCTCAACGCTCACATGACCACTAGCTCTCTGTCGGTGAGCCATCTTGCGGGACCTGATATCATCTCGACCCCTCAGTGCAGGCTCGGATCTACGGCGGGAATGGCGAGTTGAAATGAGTTCCCGCTCTTCGTGCTAGACAAGCCCAAAGACACGTGAATTTCTGCCCCCAATTCGCGATTCCACGTCGCCATCACCAAGTGGGCACTACAGGGGCCGCATCGTCAACTTCAGGAAACTGATCAGCGCCGAAAGACGGATTGGGCCAAGTGAAGACACGGTGAAATTGCACAACTCTCATAAAAAACCCTCTTTGGTCCAGCAACGCAGAGCTTAAGACCCAGCCTTATGCCCATCTGTTGATCGCGTCCCTGGCCGATGTAACGTGAGCGTCTCACGTCCACTGATTCCGATCGCCGGCCACGGTGCCCTCGTGGCCCTCACAACAGGCCTGACTGCCACCCACAAGGTTCTCCATCCTCCAACACCAATCTTCTTTTGCAACCCGGGAATATCGGAGGCCTGAGAAAGGGTCTTTTAACCTCTGTGGACCTGCTGAATTGCGCAGCCAGCCTGGGCTATTTTGCCCTGTTCGCTGTGAGTGATGGCCATCCCATCGGCACCTACCGGCCGATTTCCTATCCACCCTGCGGGCAGAAGATTTTCGTCGCAATGCCGATCACTAGGAGAATATTGGGAACTATTGAAGCTTCTAAGGATTTAGTTTTATCTCTCGTCCTCTGGCTTGCGAATTTTGGTTCTCTCCGGTGAATTTAATGGGGATTTTTGCATCATCAGAGAACCGCGCGGTGGTTCCGAGGTGGGCTGATCGTCACTGTCAGAATGTCAGTTGACATTTAGCGGCTGCGATCATCGACTCTTTCGCACTGACAACGCCACAAATCTGTTCTCAACTGCGCCGGCTCGTTCGTCGGCTCGCCGGACCACCGGAAAGAACTCTTCAAAGCCGCACGTTCTTCTTCAGCCGTTGGAACTAAAATGAGTCCCTTTTGCAACCGGTTTTCAGGAGCATCGGAACAGTGGGCCGTGTTCCAACACGAGGCAATAAGCCCGCTGCGAAAAAAGCAATGTTCAGTGGTTCACGGAGGTCGCGCAATGTCTGAACGAGAGGTTTTCCAGAAGGAGAGAAGAGAGCGAAATGTATGCACATGCGCCGCAGACAAGGATCGGAATCCGCGCAGATTCTGCGACGCGGGACCATATCCATAGTAAGCACCTCCACCACACGCCGAGGTCGCACCGCCGGTGATGTTCCTCGATTCTGTGGCCCTCATCACGTCACTCATCACAGCATCTCCCACAACCCGGCAGGGTCGTTGCAAATTTACCAAGTCTGCCGGGAACTCACAAGTCCGTCCGACATGAAAGAAGAAAACCTAAAAAGCGTTATCCCACTGGCGAGCGTTGCGTTGACACAAGTCCCGAGATGCAGGCCTCGCACCTGCGTCGAAGCTGATTGGAGAGCCCATCAACACGCTACGCAAGCGATCGTCTGCTTCATTCAGGGGCCGCCGTCTGGGCAGCAGAGAAGAATCGGCCTGATGTTCTGCAGCAGCAGCAGCAGCAGCCAACTGAAGGATTCCCTCCCGGCACAAGCATCTTTTCGATTTGTAAACCCCGGTCGGCGAGCTGCGTCTGCAATTGGCCCGCGAAGAAGGTCATCTCACACCGGGGAATCATCTGTTGGGGCAGAAGCCTCGAAACATGGGAGGGCCCCTGGTCATCGGGCTACCACCCTACGGCCTAGGGTGTGGTCGATTCTCACTCGTTGGTGGGCCTGGCGGGATGCTCATCTCCTTTCCCAGGACTGGTAACTATCGGAGGCAATCCCTGCACGACGGCCTTCTCAGGGCACCAATGCCACTACGCGAGGAGATCGAGTTGCCCTCGACTAGCGCACTCAGCCTCTATTACGACGTTCAACCGAGGTGAGGTACACCCCATGCCGATGCAGAATTTCTCGGCCGGCGCTGTCCTATCCCACCAACGAGCCTGAAGAAAGACATTGTCTTGTGGAGAGACGTCTTATGTGTCTGGGTTGTTTCGATCTGGCAGGGCTGCAGGTGTGTGGCCCGGGGGAGGGAAGACCAACTGGTGCGATAATAAAGACAGAATGTTCGTCTCGTCTGCGGCGTCTTGTCTCCCCTTTCTTGGTCAACTGTTCTTTCCTCTTACATCAGCCAACACCACTACCATGGCGGCGATACTACCGACAGCATACCCGGATGCGAGGCAGCAAGCCCAGAATGGGGCGGCGGTGGACAACATCGACCACTCTCTCGATGGAGAGTCCAGATTCGGCGAGATCGTTGCCATCCTCATCGTTGGCTCGGTACTATCATCAGTCGCAGTCGGACTCAGGGCGTTCACGAGACTATGCATGCTTCGGACGTTTGGCATGGATGACTTGGTCATGATAGCGGCACAGGTAGGTCGAAGGTTCTCAATGCCGACCTGCATAGGACAAAGAAGCTGATGGAGTTTGCCAGGCACTTGCACTTGGTTCTGCAGTAGCTATTGGACTGGGTGAGTCGATCCGTGATTCGATATGATGGTGTGCAGCATTCTGATGATCAACCAATAGAGGGACAGTACGGCCTTGGATCTCACTCATGGGTACCACCTCCCGAGGACTACGTTCCATACATGAAGGTACATCACCTCGCTCTGACATCTGCTTGAAAGCATTGTACTCATAATGTCGTTAGTCCTTCTACAGCTCCGTCGTTGTGTACAACATCGCCATCTGCCTCGTCAAGATTTCGATTCTATTCCAATACCGCAGAATTTTTGCGAACGAGATCATGCAAAAGCTGACCATGGGGGGCCTGATTTTCATGGGGCTCTGGACCTTCACGCTTTCCATCCTTCTGCCACTAGTATGCTACCCAGTCGCCAAGTTCTGGGACGACAGCATAGACGGCAAATGTCTGGACTACCTGACGATATGGTACGCAATGGCAGGCGTCAACCTGGTGTCCGACTTCGTCATCTTCAGCATGCCCATTCCCGTCATCAAGTCGCTCCAACTCCCACGCCGGCAGAAGCGCATGCTACTCCTGGTGTTCGGCCTCGGATTCTTGTAAGTCAGACGAACTAAGCAGCTGCAGGTGTAAGCGCACAGGATGTATGCTAACGTCGATCTGTGTCACAGTACCTGCATCATCTCCGCCCTTCGGATCCGAACCCTGCGCGTCGCAGCCGATACCAAGGATCCGTACTGGGACAACGTGGATGCAGCCACATGGTCGTTCCTGGAAGTCACCATTGGAATCCTAGCAGCATGCCTGCCGACTCTCCGACCGATCTTCGTCTCCCTTCTGCCTCGAATCTTCAACGGGTCCTCTTTCCATGGCAAGAGCAGCGGCAGACCATCGAGATACGCAAACCCCTATGTGCAAGCGAGCCACAACGACAGAGCCACCGGTCCGCTGTACAAGAGCCAGCAGCCGCCATCATCAAGCAGCACGGAAGGCCTGAACCACAATGAGGACATCGAAATGGGCGCTCGCGAGGCCGAGTCATCAAAGGACTACACAGTCACCGTAACTGCCAGCAGATCAAAGAGCCCCGAGAACAAGCTTAACCGGCTGAAGAGCCAACGAGACTCTGCTGAGAGACAGGTTATCGGACAGATCATGACAACAACAGTTGTGACACAAGAGGTGACGTTTGAGCGACCGACCAAGTCTTGATGAGGACGGGAAGAAGAATGAGCATGATGTTGAATGATTGAAGCCAATGACTAGAATAATTAACAATAATAATTCCTTGTGTTGATTGAACTGCCGCAACACCACGGTAATGTTACGGTGAACTTCCATGTGCATTCAAATTTTTCATCGCGGCTAGATAACGGAGATGGCCTAGATTCTTGTACGAGCTCCCGAATGCGGGTGCCTAGTTCATTCACGAAACCGAGGATGAAAGACATTGCGATATTCCGCAGGAAGAACTTTGGGAAGAATTGTGGGCAAAGCGGACAGAAGAGCAGGCAGCCATTTTTGGGCCAATTAAGCTTACATGGACAGAGAGCAGCCCACTTCACCTTCCATGTCCAGCTTGGAGAGCGAATCCCATCAGCAATAAATCCGGTCGAAAGCCCCAGTTCCGAGCATCACCCCGCTCCGCGTGCACTCCGCCAAGCACACCGGGCCGAGCTGCTTGGCTGCCTCCGTCTCCCGACCCGGGGTTCGGATTCTGATGCAGGACATCAGCGGCAGAGAGAAAGGTTTAACTCCCCGATTGTTGCCGGTAGTTGAAGGATCGCGACCAGGGTCGTTGAAGAACCGTCGCTGAGGACTTCGCGATAGACGTTCTGGATGCCTTTCGCGGCTTTGGCTGTTCCCCACTCCCCCTTTCATAAGTCCCATCAACCCTGGGCGTTCGGGTCCACGATCACTTCATGCACACTTGACGGGTGCCATAAGGGCACCTCGCTTACTATCTTCATGAGTCTAGAGTTCTTAAGACTTAATCTTAAAAAAAATTAAGCCTAAGTGATCATGAGGTCTTCGGCTGGAGAAATCAGTAAACAGGCAGCAGTTAATGGTGGTGGGTGGGTTCTGTTGATTCTTCACACCACTGAGGTCGACATGATCATATAAAACTACTTGACCGTATCATTTAGCAGTCTTCTTTGATGCCGTGATCGACACCGACGACAAGCACGCACACACAACACCATGTATTGGTGGACAACCGCTCTGCTTCTTGCGGGCTCCGGCTTGCTCACAGAGACCGTCGCGTTTCCCGCAAACTTCGACCACCGTCGCGATGACTCTCCCATTGAATCGCATCCGTTCGCGGACTTTGGGCCAGTCGGACCCTCTGTCGTGAAGCGCGCTGACAAGCCTGATTTGCGCATCTTGCCGCTCGGGGCGTCCATCATGAGCGGTGTTGGATCCAGCAATGGCAACGGGTATTGACAAGATAACGCGTTCTATGTTGTCCGTCAGCTAACATGTTCCAGCTTGAGGAAGCCTCTGAGAGATGCCCTCCGATTCGACGGTTACGAAGTTGACATGGTCGGCGGTAGAAACTCGGGTACCATGAAGGACAATGTGCGTTGCCTCAAATGTTCATCACGACTCGGCTAATAATTTCTGACAGGACCATGAAGCTGTTCCGGGAGACATTCTCACGGAAATCCGCACGCGTCTCCAGCACGCTCTCGGATACAAGGTAAGTGCCGGCACTTGAATCATTCGTGGGAGCTCGATCAGCTAATTCCCGGCAAGGCGAACGTGATCATTATCAACGGAGGCACGAACGATGCGGTGCGAAACATCGACACAGGAAACGCGTACAGCCGAATGAACGATATTCTCAACGACATCTGGAACTCTGAAGACATGGGCGAATCCTGTGTCATTCTATCCACCCTCCTTGACACGTCGGACCCTACTGGTACTGTCCAGCGAATCACGATCAACAACCAATACCGAACACTGGTCAACGACAGGAAGGGCGATGGCAAGTGCATCGTCCTGGCTGATATGGATCCTGAGGAAGGATCGCAGCATGGATGGATCGACGCTTGGGAGAATTGGGGAGACTACACCGACAAGGAAGACCCTCATACGCATCCCAACGTAAGGCTCAATCACGAACCAGCTCTTGTGACTTGGCTAACAGCAGACTTCCAGGACGAAGGGCATCGAAAGATGGCGTACATCTTCTACAAGGGCATTCTCAAAGTTCTTGCGACCGGCCAGGTCATGCCGCCATCTACTGAGTTCGAGGTGGCTGATCCAGTCTGCGATAAGTTTTCTGGCACTGGTCTCAATCCTGGTGGAAAGACACAAAGAGGCACTGGCAACGACGATGACGTCTACCGTCACTACAGCGAAGAGATGGGAGTGAGTGAAATTACACGAAGCCTTTATTTGAATGTCGGCTAACCCGAGTAGATCGTCCGGACTGCCGAAAGCGAGTGGGATCGAGACCAATGGCGATTCGCTCGATTGTACTCGAACAAGTACGACGACTTCGTTGCATGGGTCAAAGTCAGCAGCACCGAGAACGTCTTTGCTGTTTGGTGAGTTGAGACGAACTCATTCTTTTGGATGTTATCGGCTAACACCCTACAAGGGCAAACTCGGCAGACGGAAAGGGCAACTTCGCCCAGGTTTCTGACCTCTCTCCGGGCATGTACTGCGAGCCTGCCGGCCAATACTTCATCGACATGAACGGCGACGGCCTGGATGACTTCGTATGCATTGACAGCAAGGGCAACGCACACCTGTCGATCAACAACGGCGACGGCAACCGATCAGCAGGGAAGCCACCTTCCTTCAAGGCTCTCGGGCAGATCAAGACTGCTGAGACCTCGAGTCGATCCAACGTGCGCATGGGCGATATCGATGGCGATGGACGCGGCGATTATATTGTCATCGACAAGCTTGGCACTGTTAGTGTCTGGCGTAACGGCTGGGTGGACGATAAGCCCAAGTACTGGCAGGCCTTGGGTACTCGATGGACCGACCAATACACTCGCGACATCACCGGAGTTCAATTCCACGACATCAACGGAGATGTAAGTTCAGCCTGCCTTTGATGTGAGAACATGCGAAAGGACTTGGACTAACTGGTCTTTTAGGGGCGCGACGATTGGCTTTGGACCGACAAGACTGGTGCTACAACAACCTTCACCAACAGCCGCTCTTGCAAAAAGGGAGTGGAAGGAAACGGCCTCAACGTCGCCTGGCGCCAGGGTTTCTTCGAGACTGAAGGCACCGGTCCTACGCACAAGGGTGTTCCTGGCTATGTCACCAAGGACGAGTCCGATCTGCGCAAGCGCGTTCATTTCGCCCGAGTCTATGGTGGCTCCTCGTCTTTCGGCAACCTCTCCCTGAAGGACTACGTTTTCCTCGAACACACAAAGCTCTCGAACGGGAATCACAGCTTCAAGATGCGCATCTGGAAGAACACTGGCGGTGGCGCGTCCAAGCTGAAGATGGACGGTAACAAGTACTGCAACATGGTCGGACACGAGGACGGCCGTTCTGATTACGTGTGGGTATGGTCTAACGGCAAGATGGAGCTCTTCATGAACCGAGGCAAGAAGGCCATCTCCGACAATGACGCCGAGGGATTCTGGGACTGGTCGCCCGGTGTAATATGGACGCCCCCTTCGGCGATGCATCGACTGGACCTACACCTCGCGGACTGGGATGGCGATGGCGCGTGCGACATCATTTACGTCAACCCGGAAACAAACGCGCTCAGAGTCTTCATCAACAACTATCCTAAGTCAAACAAGTGGGAATTCAGCGAGACCTCCGCCCCGAGCCCAGGTTGTGGGGAGAAGAGAGGAGTTGGTATCAACGACTGTAGGTTTTCAAAAATTCTGTCTGAGATGACAATGGGTGCTAATTATACTAGTGGCCGTCCGGTTTGCGGATTTGACGGGCAACAAGCGAGCCGATTTCCTGTGCCTCCGTCCAGATGGATACGTCTCGGGAGCTCTCCACCAAAATGACGGAAGCTTCAAGGACGTTGGCCAGATCAAAGTCGCCGAGGGCCATGACCGGGCAATGTTGCGCTTTGCCGATGTCAACGGCGATGGCAAGGACGACTTCCTGTGGATCGAGAAGTTCTCGGGCGACACGTTTGTTTGGTACAATGGTGGCGAAGACAGCAGCCGACCTCTGGGATCTGCGTTTTACTGGCGCCAGCAGACCGAAAAGGCTTATGCTGGTCTCGCTGCCGGCACTTGTCTCTTCTATACCGACCTTTCGGGCGACTGGCGCGCTGACGAGCATTACGTGCTCGAGTCCCTCAACAACATTGCCGAGACATCCTTCAGCCCGGCGTGTGGTCTGAGCAATGTCGAAGGCGATGATCCGGAGGGAGTGGTCGACCCGCAGCTCCCTGTGAGACCGGACGACGATGGCGATGACGAAGTTCCCGATGGCGTTTGTGCCTACCCGATCCTTGGCACGACGCAGTTGACGCTGAAAAACACCTGGGAGAATTCAGGCGCTGCTGACCATCTGAACAAGTATTTCAAGACACATGGCACGGATGGCTGGTCGACAAACTACCTGTACGACATCCTTGGCACCCAGCATGACTGTGGCGGCATCTTCTCAACAACTTGCACGCCGCCGACTTCGCAATGCTCCACATACGACCCCAACGAGGCATTCTTCGTCCACCAGCAGATTGCCAACTTGCATAGTGGCATGTTCAAATGGTGGGGCATGATGGTCAACGACAGTGTCAGCGCTCTCGGCAGCGACATCACGGACATTGTGGACACGTACGGTACTCCCAGTGAAGACCCCATCACCACGCTGAACATGCTGGTTGGCCTCTTCACCAGTCTGGCGGGAATAGCGGGAACGATCGGAGACGCTTTGCCTGGAACCACGGCGGCCGGCCTCGGGAAGTTTGTCAACCCGATGACTTTGATAGCCGGTGTCATTGCCATCACCGCCACCAACGACTTGAACGAGCCCACTATTGACCCTGAAGACCTCGAGAAGGACCTGAAGAAGAGCTACACCAAGATGTTCTCGGCCATATCGGACAGAGCGAGGAGTACCCTTGAAGCCACGTTGAATGGAAAGCCGCTGTCCGGGGAGATGCTCGAGAGAGCCGGTGTATCTTCGATGCAGGAGTATATCCAGCACCAGTTCGCCGATGGTGCATGGCTGAGTTCAGAGTTGATTGGCAGCTTGGTGGATGCAATGGCGCAAAACGTTTTCCAAAAATTTGTAAGTTTCTTCTTAACACCGTCATTATATTTGATGCGGGAAATCGCTTACTGACGAGTCGCGCAGAGAGAATATGCCTTGGTCAAGGCCATCAAGACCAACAACAAGAGACAGTACATCTTCCTCGTCACTGGACCGAAAGCGAAGGTAGTTTACAACGTAAGTCATGTTCGCGTCATCAAACGGGTTGGAAAGCTGACCACACGCCGCAGAATGAACTGGTCTACATGAGTCAAGAGGCCTGCGAATCAATGTCAGCCCGTGTTTGGCACGATGATGTGAGTTGCCCCCACAGACACGAAGTACGCGCGATTCCTAACCATATTCCAGTTATGCCTTGCGATGGGTTATACCGAAATCAACGTTGCCGACAAGCAGGTGTGGAAGACTATCGGAGACACGGAAGCCGACGGCATGAAGCAGTGGATCAAAGACTTCCGAGCGGCCATGGTCAACAACTACGAATGCTACAAAAAGAAGGGGTCTGATGGCAAGCTGGATGATCCGGAGTTTCCGAAGCCTTTTGACGCGGCTGCCACGATCGAGTATCCGCAATGCTTTTGGAACATTTGGTCGCATGAAGATCTTGATTAAAAGAGAAGGAACGGTGGATTACAGCTGAACGGTTTTGGTCTTCTTTGTACATATTTCAACTCTGCTTCTCTCACTATTTCGAGTTTCGTTTGTCAAATAATACGTAATATCCATGTCTCATTTACACAGGACATGCTTCGGCTCTGGCGTCCAGTGACTCGCCATCGCCGTATCCAGGGCTTTTCATGTGTGGCACTGGATTCTGAATCACGGACCAGCTCTTCTTCGTGCCAACAGACTTCCCAGACTTTAATAATTACACAGAGGCGCCTCGGTAACCCAGACTATGGGCCGGTCTTCCGCCATTGCACCTCACCCCGGCTTTCTGTTAGCGACGTAGAGGTCAGTCGCGTCTTGGCATCCTCAACGATGGCCTGGGTAGGTGGGAGCCGTCAGAAGTTATCCCGAAGATTCCCTCCGTAGCATTGGCATGATGTCAACAAGAACGAAAGCTGTTGTCGCCGAGACTGTGGAACCCTCTTCGGGTGCTGTAGGGCGTCATGTAGGGCGCCACGACTACGAGAAGATGATATCTGGGCAGCCGTGAGTCCCACATGCATGGAATGCATTTTCCGCCTTTGCTGACAAATGTAAGGTACGACTGTCTAGCCCCAGCACTGATTGACTTGAGAAGACGTGCATGTCGGATAACACTCAAGTATAACAGCAACCTCCCTCCAGAGCCTCCGCCTGTGGCAGAGTCATCCTTCCGAAATACTCTGCTCCGAGAGATCTTTGGGAAGATCGGTGAGTCCCCACGGGTCGAGACCCCTTTGACAGTTGGGTACGGCTGCAACATTGAGGTCGGAGATGACTTTCTCGCTCAATCGAAGTAAGTGCTTCCTTACCCGTCGTGTTTCCCGCATTCCTGGAAATCTGACCAAGGTAGTCTCGTGATTCTTGACAATGCAATGCTCAAAATCGGCCACCGCGTTTCCTTCGGTCCATCTGTAACGATCATGACGGCGACGGACGGTAAAGGACCCGCCGATTCATGGCGGCGGCAGTGTGCTCAGCCAGTCTTTATCGGAGACGACTGTTGCATCGGCGCAAACGTGACCATCTTTCCAGGAGTATCAATTGGAAAAGGCTGCAAGATTGCTGCTGGAAGTTTTGTGCGAAACGACATACCAGATTTCTCAGTTGCATTGGGAGGACCGGCCAAAGTTGCGCCAAAGACGTCGAATTTGGGTTGTCGACGACTCTCAGAAGCTGTCTTCTCTACCACCAAAGAACTTCATGGTAGTTGGCTCACGAAGCTGTCCTAGTCGGATGCGACAGTTGGCGAAGCTACAGCCGATGGACCTTGGTCGCGTGACGACTAAGGAATCCGCTGGCATCGGTAACTTGTCAGAGCCTCCATTGCGGGTTTCTCCGCTGTTGAGCTGATGCGGTCATGCCGACATCTGGGCTGATCAAGAAGCTCTTGACATTCGCTTGGTGGTGGGCCTCCTAGCGAGTCTGTCGGCCCTGCATTCCGCCAGAAGTGGGCCAAAAGGAAAACGGGATTCTTCCCGAGCGCTCGCCCAGCATTGTCTTCCGGACTTCAGCCGAGACAGACGCGGTCCTGGTCAATAGCTACCAGGGTGCTTTGTCTTGGGCAATTCTCCGCTTGGTCTTCAGTTAGCTTTGGTGTTCAGGGGTACGCGGTCTTCCTCTGGACCGCGACTCACGCGTCTCTTGGCTTCGCTGGGCGGATGCCGCGACACCCAGATCTACGGCCCGTTCTATCTCCGGATGTAGCTATTCGAGTACGAACAGAACGGCGCTGTTCCGAGGGCAGCTTCCGAGCCTGATTGTCCATGAAGTCCCCGACCCGACCTGACGGTTGCTTGGCGCCGAGTGGCTCGATGTCGCCAGCCCGGTTTGGAGAAGTTAAAAGTGGAACAGTATGTCTTCTTGGGCATGAATGCCCGCTTGAGCGCATGATGGCCGCATCACTCCAGTAAGTTGCAGTCTTTAGAATGAGATTCACATGAAACGTTTCGGCCTAGAGCGCTGACTATGGGACTCTAGACCAGCAAAAGTCGCCCATTACTAGCCAAGTCGAATGGATGCAGCACTGCCAACACCATCATGATCTAGCTTGCTGCCATTGCAGCCGTCGCAACATTCTACCCACTGGCAATGACACACGAATCTTGCGTACTTATTCTCCTCATATGTCGGACTCCCGCACAACCCGCATCAACGGTTGCTGAGGGCGACAGTCCTCCGACCTGACCATGTTGGCGCTTCCAGCTGCCATTCGGTGCTACGCCAAGCTAGAAGGGCCGTATGTCAACCCCGGTCTGCATCGCGGAGACCCCACAAGCTGACATCCACACCTAAGGTGAGCGGCATGGCATCGTGCCCCCTTTACCGCAGTCCGCGCGCAGCAATTGCGATGTCTAGAACCTTTGTCCCACTGAAGCTGAGATGGGGGTGGAATCTCTGGGGTTGGATGGATTCTCCGGGGCTGGGCCACAGTGTTTCGGGCAACCCACTCGCTGGTTCAACTCTGACGACATGAAAACCAACAGTGGTACGGTTTCTTGGCCTCGGCCGCGTCGTTACCCAAGACGCGATTGCGATTTAAGTCCCGGGTGCTCCCTCGAATCTCAAGCCGACGCTGACTCGCTTGTCTCTCACCAATCTCATCGACTTTCCAAAATCCTTCCGTATTGTTTGGCGACCCCCACATCAGCGTTGACATGAAGCAGCCGTCAGGTGGAGAAGCCAAGGCCGTTGGTCATGAATTGGCCAGTGTTCTTCCCAACGATGGCATTCCATGGTGGAAGAAGAGCCATCTGATCAAGCTCAACTTCTGCATCGTCTCCTTCATGCTGTTCACCAGCTCAAACGGCTTCGATGGCTCTGTCATGAACGGCTTCCTGGCCTTGTCTCAGTGGAAAGACTTCATGGGCAATCCCACAGGTGCATGGCTTGGCTTCATCAACGCTATGTACTCTCTCGGAGCAGTCATTGGCTTTCCGCTCACCGCGATGCTTTGCAACCGCTGGGGCCGCAAAATCGGCCTTTGGCTCAGCGTGTTCATCTCCTTGGTGGGCACTGCGCTGCAAACCGCTGCTCCGAATCAAGCTGCGTTCATCACCGCCCGTTTCTTGATGGGCGTTTCCCAGGGTCTTTCAGTTGGAGCGCCCCTGTTGATCGCCGAAAACGCGTTCCCCACGCACCGTGGAATTGCTTCAAGCATGGTCGGTCAAGCGATATCTTTGGACCTGATCTTGAGTCACCTAAGCTAACGAGAGAAAAGTACAATTCGGGCTGGTACGTCGGTGCAATTGTTGCTGCGTGGGCGGTACGTCGTTAACTCTGTTCATTCGTCTCATGCAGCTAAAGACTAATGTGTGATAGACCTTTGGCACAAGGAACATGGAGGGCTCAGCAGCCTGGCGTATTCCCTCTGGCCTGATGGCGCTTTTACCCTTGATGACTGTGCCTGCTCTGTTTCTCATGGATGAGTCCCCCCGATGGCTGGTATCTATGGATCGCGCGGACGAGGCAAGAATGAATCTTGCTAAGGCCCACTGCGGTGGCGATATCAATGCACCTCTTGTCACATTCGAAATGGTCGAGATTGAGGAGACTCTGAAGGCCGAAAAGCTTGCTAATGACAGCACATCCTGGGCTGATTTGTGGTCTACTCCTGGAAATCGTCATCGCCTTTGGATCTCTGTCTCGCTGGGCATCTTTGCCCAATGGTCTGGTAAGTTAAGTACCGGTTGAAGTCACTACACAGAATAGGACTAATAAGAGCATCGTGTAGGAAATGGAGTGGTATCGTATTACTTGGCGATCATTCTGGAGTCTGTCGGTATTACCTCAGTCACGGATCAGACACTCATCTCCGGATGCCTTCAGATCTGGAATCTTATTTGGTCCGCGGCGGCTGCCATCTGCGTCGACAAAGTTGGGCGCAAAGCTTTGTTCATGGCTAGTGGTATTATCATGCTCGTCTCGTACATCATTGTCACGGGTCTATCGGGAAGCTTCGCGACTAGCGGGAATGGTCCCACTGGAATTGCAGTTGTTCCATTTTTGTTCATGTAAGTCTTAACGCGTTCTACCTCTATTGTTATCCTTTGCTAATGTGTCTACAGCTACTTCCTCGGATACGATATTGCCCTCACACCCCTGGTGATCTCATACCCCGTTGAGATCTGGACGTACCAGATGAGAGCTCGCGGACTGGCAGTCTGCCAGATGGTCTCGCTTGGGGCCATCTTCTTCAACACCTTCATTAACCCTATCGCCCTGGACGCCATTCAGTGGAAGTACTATTTTGTCTTCGTTGCGATTTTGGTGGCAATGCTGGTGACGGTATGGTTCACTTACCCTGAGACTCGAGGACGAACACTCGAAAGCATCGCCTGGCTGTTTGATGGAGATGAGGCAAACGTTGGTATTGCCACCGCTGAGAACACACTCAAGAGCACCAAACAGCATATTGAGGACCATACTACGGACGAATCTCAGGAGAAGCAGTAATTGAAATTGCGAAACACTCGAAGAACTAACACATGCAACCACGCATGACGTGCAGCAATTAGAAATCAGAGTTGGCGATAAAAGGCTTGATTAAATTCCATTTTCCGAATTCCTCTTAATAATGCTTCTATGACACGGCCAAGTGTTGCAGGTCTTTTTGTAAAAGCACTCAGGCTCTAATCTGCCTATCTGAATCTTCCTTTCTCTTGTTCGCGCCTCTGAAGCCATCAGCTTGGGAGAACCAGCTTACCATCAGCATCTAGATATTCCTTAGCAATCACATCAACTGCTCGTCTCAGCCTCGTCACAGATTCTCGAATCTCTTGCTCGGTGGCAATGAAAGGTGGCGACACCACAACTGAATCCATCTTCCAAGTTCCGGGGAACCCCATGTTCTTCAGCACAAGAACGCCCTGGTTCTCGACCGCTTCATCCACCACTCGATGTGAAAAGTCATCGCCCATCGGGAAAGGTGTGCGCGTCGCCGGATCGCGCATGAACTCAACAGCCCACAGGAGCCCACGACCGCGGATGTTGCCTGTCAGTGGGTGTTGACCAAGCTCTTCGTGCAACAGCCTCTCAAGAAGCTCGCCCTGCTTTCTCACATTTGACAGAAGGTCTTGCTCCCTGATGATCTTCTGAATTGCGAGCGCGGCTGCACATGATGTCGGATGTGCCTGGAATGTGTGTCCGCCTGCCAGCGCGCCTTGTGGCGTTGCAATCGTGTCGAAGATGCGTTGGTGAACTAAGACTCCAGAAACCGGGATAAAACCACCACCGAGCGACTTTCCGATCATTTGCAGATCAGGCCCGCTAATTTCCTCTTGCTGCCAGGCGTGAAGAGTGCCTGTCCTACCCATCCCACATAGAACTTCGTCAAGGACCAGCAATGCCCCATACTTGTCGCATATCTCTCGTACAGCCTTGAAGTAGCCCTTGACTGCAGGAACGGAAGCAAGTGTTGATCCTGCAACGGTTTCGGCGACAAAAGCTGCGACCGTTTCAGGCCCAAGACGCTGGAACTCTGCCTCAAGCTGGTCTACCAGTCGCTCGAGATATGCTTCGTCAGACTCGTCGTTGAGCTTGCCGCGATAGGAGCAGCAGGCATCCACGAACGACACATTCTCAGACATCCAGTGCCGATAAATGTCACGGCGGCCCTCGTGTCCTGTGATACACAAAGCACCGAGGGTATTGCCGTGATAGCTCTGCTTCCGTGCGATGAAGTTGATACGTTGCTTCTCTCCCTTCGCAGACCAATACTGAGTAACCAGCTTCAGCATAGCCTCGGTTGCTTCACTACCTGAGCCTAGGAAAATAGCTTTGCTGAGACCGCCAGGATTGCCTTCAAGTATGTACGAGGCCAGCTCTTCCGTCGTATCTTCACAAAACCCGCCACCTGAGAACAGGTAGCCTATTTTGTTGAGTTGTTTGGTAACGGCTTCAGCTACCTCAGGTACATTATGCCCAAGACAGGCTACGCCAGGCCCTCCCGTGGCGTCGATAATGGTTCGCCCGTCATCAAGGGTCAAAGTCGTTCCTGAAGCTGAGACTATGCGCAGAGGCTTTTGAGAGAAGGAGCGGTGGAAGATGCTTGAAGTTTGGAAAAAGTCGTTTAGAGCCATTGTAGAAGAGAGTATAGTTTATGAATGCAGTTCAAGCCAAGCGCTTCGGCCTGAGTATGTGGCCAGGGTTGGCAAGTTTTAGGGAGAATAGATGGAGCGTGATAACCTCGGTGCCAACCAAATTTATCATCTGAAATGCAGAGCGATGTCGGTGAATGAACAGAAATACCGTAAGGCTCCATCAACAACGAAGTCATAATTTAGACGGAAAATTGCTTCTGCCACCGGCGATCTTAAGCGCCCCCCCCGACAATAGCCAATCAAGAAATGCGCGCCGGAACCGCTCTAGATCTGGGGTAAGCTCTTAATGTTGGGCACCTGCTGGCAAGGGGAGCCTTGTCGCCGATGACATGCTTTATCGTGCGAGATACGACCCCAGCTGTACTTTTATCGCATCAGCCAATCAAAAAATGCCCGCCAGAACCGCCCGGCTAAACGCAGGCGGGAATGCCCTCAATTCTGCAGCCGTGTAGACTAGGCAATGGTCTTCACCGCGATACGGTGACTGCTTTGACCGCTGTTGGAGAGGCGGGGTTGATGATCGAAAGCTTAGGTTCAGAGGATGAGGGGCTGACACGGCTACTCGATTCAAAGGAGCAATGTTGGTAACGTTCAGGACGCATCTCCGATAAAGCGGAGCAAACTTATCTGCATTGCAAGGGCTCCGGCCTGAACTGTACCGAGAGATAAGACCTAGAACCACCCTACGCCGTATCGCTCAACACTTCAATTACTTATTCGATGGTCCTTATGAGACGTGAATTCCGCCACCTTCGTGAAACATGTGTAGATGAACACTTTTCCCCTTCTTTCTTTTGGTCATCTGCTTTGACCCAGGCGATCAATAACGTCTTGGTGTGTTGGCTCGTAAAGCAACTCAGTTCTGGTCGTTAGGCAAGACTGAATGACGTCCGTCGATATGTCTGACTCACTACGTATACCGCATGAGGGTTCTCTCGAACCAAAAAGAGCCATGGACAAGGCAGGCCCGCAAGTTGACTTCGAAGACGGCGATGTCCAGAGTGGCCATGTGGACGCATCCGACCACACCCACCGACGACTGAAGCCCCGGCATATTCAGCTGATTGGAATCGCTGGCACGATCGGCACTGCGTAAGTACCAATGAATTAGCCTGACAGGCAAAATAGTTCTCTCTAACATGGCTGACGATAATAGGCTATTTGTCAACATTGGAAAGGGATTGCTGAGTGGCGGTCCAGCAAGTCTGTTCATAGCGTACTGCTTATGGTAAGAGCGTATCGTTCACGAGTTAACTGTAAACTCGAGCTGATGGATACAGGTGTCCCGTTGTGCTTTCTATTTCCCTCTGCATGTCAGAAATGGCGACATACCTGCCAGTTTCTTCGCCTTTTATTCGCTTTGCTGGCCGATTTGTCGACGAGTCTTTCGGCGTTGCAGCGGGCTATAATTTCTTCCTGTTTCAGGCATCGCTTTGTGAGCAAACACCTTTGGTCAATTTCCCTGACTACGGCTAACAGATCACCGCAGTGCCATTTGAAATCACTGTCTGCAATGTTGTGATACGATACTGGACCGAGGCCATACCAGTTTGGGCCGTCTGTCTCGTCTTTCTCGCGCTCTACGCCATCCTCAACTTTGTTGCGGTAAAGTTCTTCGGCGAAGCAGAGTTCTGGCTTTCCCTCGGAAAGGTCATTCTTATTGTTGGCCTAATCTCCTACACATTTGTCGTCATGGTTGGCGGTAACCCAAGGCATGATACGTTCGGTTTTCGCTACTGGTACGACCCTGGTGCATTTCGGGAACTCCATCGGGAGGGCTCTCTTGGCCGCTTTCTTGGTTTCATGTACTGCCTCATCCAAGCTGCCTTCGTCATCGCTGGTCCTGAGTACGTCTCAATGACCGCAGGTGAGACCGAGAACCCAAGAAAGGTCCTTCCGAAGGCGTATAGGTCGATATTCTGGCGGCTGACAACTTTCTTCGTTCTCGGATCTCTTGCTGTTGGCATCGTCGTGCCGTCTGATGACCCAAAGCTGAAAGAGGCGTATTCGAGCAGCAAGGGAGGCGCCGCTGGATCACCATATGTGCTGTCGATGGATATCCTAGGCATTCCTATCTTGCCTCACATTGTCAATGCCTTGATCTTGACATCCGCCTTCAGTGCTGGCAATAGCACAACATACTGCGCAACACGAACTCTGTACGGCATGGCTCTTGAAGGCAAAGCCCCTCGCTTCCTAGCCAAGTGCAACAAAGCCGGCGTGCCTTACTACTCCGTTGCGGTTGTCATGTGTTTCGGCGGTCTCTCCTTCCTGCAGGTTTCCAACTCGACAGCGGTGGTTCTCAACTGGTTCGTCTCTTTGGTCACAGCCTCTCAGCTGATCAACTTCTGCGTCATCGCCTTCACCTTCACACGTTTCATGAAAGCATGCAGCGCCCAAGGAATTTCCAGAGACTCACTGCCTTATAAAGCACCGTTCCAACCGTACACGACTTGGTTTGCGTTTACTTGCTGCTCTGTCATGATCCTAATCGCTGGATACAGCATCTTCATCGACGATAACTTCACTGTCCCAGATTTTCTCTTTCAATACATGATGGTTGGCGTGTTTCCGGTGGTGTTTGCTTTCTGGAAGGTATTGAAGAAGACGAAGTGGCTGAAGCCTCATGAGGTCGATCTTACGACCGGCGTATGGGAAATTGATGTTTACACTGAGAACTTTGTGCCCACGCCTTCGAAAACAGCGTTTACGCGAGCTCTGGATAAGGTGTTTAGTTAATTGTCTGGATAGACCAGTTTCTGAAGTGTACTTAATTATGACAATGTTTCAATGATTGCCTCCCATGTGAGGGGCTTACCTTCGCCAGCTGTCGGCGAGAAATACGACCTCAAACGATCGAAAGCTTCCACTGCCTCCTGTCCAAAACGTCACGCCAATCGACTTCCTTCTTTGACAGTCGAAGTTGCCAAACCTCCTCAAGAACCCTCAGCGCACAATCGTAGTTGTAGAGATTTCGGGATACCACAATTGACTTCATCTTTGTTCTTATCGCCTCGATGTCGCCCGGGTGGCTAATCTCTCCACCACAGATGAAAAGGGGGAAGAGCAAAGAGCTCTCAACAAGACTTTTGTGGGGGATTTTGCGTAGTCTTTCAATAATACCTTGAGCCAGCGAGGGAGCCTTGGTCTGAAACTCAGTGCTGCCTGGAAAGTTGCGACGCACTACTCGATGAAGATGAAGTAAGGCGGCATTGCGGTACATCTCGGCAAGGTCGACTAAACCCTCAGACCGGTCAGCGGTGTCGCATTTCCAACACAGCAACTCCTCTTCCAGCCTCAGCGCCCTCTCCCGAAAAGCACTCTTGATGAACTCCTCCTGAAGATGCGACTGTATCATATGAGCATTGAGCACGCTGGTCTCTGAGATAAGGAACAGCAGCCGAGATCCAACTCCAAATAAGCTGTCTGGGGGCTCCCTCTGTCCAAAGAACCAATAATGCCCTGCCACCAGGAGAGGCCGAGTATCTGCGGCCACCGCTGCCATGATGTCATGGTAAGCGAAACTGCGTAGAAGCCATTGGCCCTCAAAGGAGGAAAACGGACTGGTATCCCACGTCGCATCTCCCTTGTGGCAGACAGACCGCATCACTTCATTGGCGCCAGTGAGATGTGTCCACCATTGCTTGGTATCGCCAGATATGCTTTCCAGGGCACACTGTACCAGACAACAGGCCATCTCAATCTCCGGCTCTCGCTTAGCGGATGAGATCAAGGTTGAGAGTGATCGCAACGCCCTTCCCCGGCATTGCAGAGCTAGCCTTTCGTAAGAAGCCTCCAACTGGGCCAGATGGGTCGATGACCAAGCTATGATAGTGTCGAGGAAGGCTGGCGAGTCCATGGCAAGTGGCAGGAAGACCGATATGAAGCAGTTGTTTTCCAAATTTGTAGTGATCAATGCAGCGAGGGTTTGGGTGTAATATCGCAGCACCACCCTTCTTTGAGCCGCGAAATCTTCCGGAATCTGGGCGCTACCATGTTGCAGCCAAAAGGCTGAGATGTCCGGAGTCTTGGTAGTCAAAGAAGCAGACGGGCCACGTGGTTCGGCGGAGGGGTCTTGAGGGACCGACTTTCGTGGGCGACCGCGTTTTCGCGGCTGTTTTAGATCCTCTCTGCGGCAAATGAAATTCAGGCGGCTACATGCGCCGCAGATGGGATAGACCTGATCGCATTTCTTCTTGCTGTTCACTCATGTTGGCCAAGTCGTCGACGCGGGGAATGAACACTGAGACCCACCGATCGCGACAAGTCAGGCAGCCGTTGCGTAGGCGTTTTCGCGACATGCTTGCTTCAACTTCGCTAGTCATGGTCTTGACCTATTGCTGCGGAAAGCTGATGATGCGACTGCCAATTGAAGACCAAGACTGAACGGCCAAAACACCAGACTTTGGAGGGGTAAAGTTGGGTTCATGCAAGCCTTATCATCAGCAGCCTTCGGGGCTTATCTATCTAACTAAGCGACATTGCAGCTACTGAGTCCTTTTTTCTTACTGCGCGAGGAGTCGAGCCCTGAACCTTGCGCACCTTGTTAGCTTCCACTCTCTCAGAGCCACCCACTATTGAGAGCCCACGTCGAAGGACAGTTGCTATCAGTAAGATTTCTTCGCCATGTGTTTCTTTTTCATAATGCCACTCTAATTCTTCTAGACAATTATGACGCGTGGAAGGCGTTCACTCACCAGCCTGACCTAAGTACCGGACGCAGCTGGCAGGTCTTCTGGCACGCGTCGTGGCTCATTCCGGCCGACCCTAAATGGGCCTCGCCTTTCTACGAACCGTTCTCGCACAAGTCACGGGAGATGTGCCATCCACGCTATTCTAATTCTGACGTTCAATTACCGAATCAGCGGAAGATCTACTGTCTCAAATCCGGTGGCTTTCCACTAGGACAAGTTAGTGCCAGCACGCCCCTGGCCTTGACTAAACCAAAGTACAGCTGAGACGCCGGGGGCCCGAGGGATGGCATCATTGTTTCCTTGGTCTCCCTTGATATTCAAACCTTTATTGTCAATCTTCCTTGTCTTCCTGTCAATGAACACTTGAGAGGCCCATCATCCATGTCGTGATGCCACACTCCGCCGCCGACAGAAACCTCTGGCTGGCCTATGCCAACGCAGTCAAGGAGGCCATCCAGTTTGAGCCAACGCATGGTACTGCCCTGTACCTCTCCAGCAAGGCCCAGAAAGGACCCTTTGCTTCACCACGGATACCTCTGGAATACACCAATGCCGGCATCTATGAAGCTGCGAATAATCATCTGCGAACAGGAGACCTTTTCTATCACCCCGATTCTCGAGATTCTTATGTGAAGTCTCTCAGAACGTGAGTCGCTTGGCACTGAGAATAGGTGAAACTGCTCAGCTGATCGCCTTGTTATAGCTTTCTCCAATCAGTTGATGCCGTAAGCGAGGTCTGCCAATCCGCTGCTGAGTGCGCGCTTCAACTGACATGCACATCTACAGGGTGCCAGGGGTGACGTTCACATCAGCATCGAGAGTTGTATGAGGGAGCTCGAAGATAGCCTTGAAATCTACGAGAAATCCGCTGATAAGGCACGCCGGACATTCAAAAAGCACTCGGATGTGGGCATGACTGGTGATTCGACCTTTTCGCAATGGCACCAGACTAATGCGCCGGCCTTTTGCAACTCTATTCGAGATGTCGAGGTTGCATCTGATGCTCTTCTAGCTGCAGGAAGCGTGCTCATTGGGCCGCGAGCGCAGAAGTGGAATCAAGACTTGAGAAAGCTCCTGTACGCAATGATGTCAGAGCAAGAGATACCAGGGTGAGCCAGAACCAGATGTTCACGATATATAAGTCCTGGAGCTGACAGAAAAAAAGGATGACAATGCCGATTGACATGGACTTTACCCTCAGATCAGGCGAGAAGGCTCAGAAACTGCTCAACAAAATCAAATTGCGTAAGAAGGCAGGTCCGTCAAAAGTTGTGGCTTGCGTCCCCGCGTTCTATTGCCCCGACTACGAGAATGTGGTCAGGGATTGGATCGGCGCGGGCCGTCGCGATGAACCGGGTGATAGATTATACGTGCGTTACGCAGAAGGAGAAATAGCCGACGAGGGCGGGTTCGGACATGAAGAGCAGGGCAACAGTTTCAAGTTCACCTACCCACCATGGCTCTCATTCTATGTCGATGGACACGAGTTGCCTTTCAAGGCTGTCATGCAGGACAGCGATGTGGACATCACCATATCTTTTGACAACCTAAGAATTGTTAAAGTCGCCCCAGGCGCATGGTAAGTCCTCGTTGATCCACTTCCTCCTTGGAAAAACAAGGTCTGAATTATCTCAACCAGGAATTTAGAAAACCTTAGTTCATCATATCCTCGGATGAAGGCAGGCCTTTCTACGGACACAAAGAAAATCGCACAACCTCACAGACTCGTTGTGATCAATAATCTGGTCTTGAGGATTTTATTCAGTGGTCGAGTCGTTGCAGAGGTTGCAAAGCAGCTGAACAGAATACAGTACTACGGAGGATTTCTGAATGTCTTGGGAGTCTCTGCAGCAATGGACCAAGACAGGAGCACGGATCAGACATCACATACAGCCACGTGGAATGCTGAAGATGGTGTCCTTGAGGTCATCCCAACCGTCTATGGAGGCTTCGCAACATTCATTGGGACGGTTGGCAAAGCGCTTTGAACATAATCTTATTAAAGACGACATTACATCTACGTAGTATACTCTTGTATAACACTGCGTGGCTCGACATACTTACCAAGGGGCTTGTAATCCAGATCATATCCAAATGCCCTTGGTCCACCAATGTCTAAACCGGCCTGAGTCTCTGTCCATCGTGGCGAACAAGTGATACCGATGACCGTGACTCGATACCCGTACTTAAATTCGGGAACTCCAAGGGCTCTTCCTGACTCGTTGTCCAAGATGGAGATCAAGTCCGGAACGGCCGCCAATATGCTAGTCTTCCCATCCTCGCTTGTATGCTCAGCCAGTATGTTCTCGTTCTTGAAAGGAACCTTAAGCATTCCACCTTGAGCTACGGCAGAAGCTCGGTCTTTCACACTGGCTGCCTCATCCTCGTCGCCGCTTTCGAAAGCAGCAATGTGAACCTCGCCGTAAGAGTGGCCCTTGAATAGACGACGCTCAACACGCATGATCTTGCCCCTAAACAAGACCTTGGCTGCTTCAGAGCCGCCAGCTTCATTGATGATAGATTCGGCAACCGTGCTCATTGTATTTGTTGCTTGGCATAGGGATACGCATCTTCCGATGCGCCAAGCGAGGGACACGGTGTTGAGAACGCCGAACTTCTTGACTTTATCAGACGTGGTCGGCTTCGCAGCCATTCCTACTCGAGAACCCATCTCGGAGCAGGATGCGCGGAGAGCACGGTCGACGATCTCATCGTTGGGTGCCCTCGTCATGATGATTGTCTTGCCGTCGCCTGAGTCAATCGCACACGGAACTAATTCCAAAGGTGCGTGGACTGCCAAGGTCGTTTGCCAGTAGGTTGGGTAGGCTCGACCCATCCAGTCTCCATCAATGATGGGGCTGTCAAAGAACCTCGAGGAACCAACCAGGAAGGGTTCGAGGCCATTGGCGCCACCGATCTCGAGACCCATCACTGCATCAAACTTGTCATGGCGCATGTACTCCATCAAAGCTCGGAAGGCGTCTACTGTTTCGATAGACTGTAGCCGTTCAATGGAAACAGCAGGAGATCCCATGTGACCTTTCATCTCAGTTAGCATCAGCCAGTATTGGCTGACGTTGGCGTCGACTTACCACCCCAGTAGATAAGGTCCTTCTCTTTCAGTGAGGAAGGCTCAATGACGCGCATCGTGTGTCCGTCTCGAAGCATGTTCCGTAGCTGTATCTTGGAGGCTGCTGGACTTCCACCTCCAGCACAGCCAAGAACGTAGCAACCGTCGGCAAGATAGTCCAAGTCCGTTTCGCTGATGATCCACTCCGCGATGCCGTCCTTGTTGACCTTGATTTCGGGCTTGTAGGAAGATGGATCGACCTTCTCCTCTTCCTTTGTAGCACGGGTCAAGTCTTTGCTGGCCTCCGTTTGCTCTTCTCCAAAATCCTCGTCCGCGAGTTCACCGGCATCGTCCAGCTTCGCATGTAGATCGATATCACCAACTGCCTTGACCAAAGTCCGGACCTGGTTGGCCACATATTGCAAAGGCATTGTCTCGACCTCGGCAATTTTGATGCTTTCAGGGATAGCTCCAGCAGCAATAGCCCGCTCAATCGCTATCTTCTTGGCGTTGTCAATAGCCTGACCTTCTGTCTGGTGCGTGGTGCCTTGCACGATGTCAACCGCACCGCAGACTCTCGCAATGGCGGCACCAACGGCATTGGCAACGTCGTGGAATGGTGGCCGAATCAACTTCGACGCTCCCTTGAGACTGTCCGGCGATAGTATGGCGCCGCCACCAACGAGGAGGACTGGGACGGGATCCGGCGACGTTTTGATGACATCTACAGCCCCTTCAAGAAGAGCTTTGATCCGAGATATTGCCTCTTCTACGAAGCTGACCTCCAAACTCTTCACCTTATCGGTCGCACCAACGACTGCTTTACCTGCGGCTACTGCCACGTCCGTTGTGGTGCAGACATCGCCTCCAAAGACAAGTGCACGACTCAAAAGCTCAAGTCCCACAGACTCTGGACCGACTTTGACCTTGCCATCCACAGTTCTGACAATGGAGCCGCCACCGAGACCGATCGAGTGAAGATGCGGCATGGAATAGTTGACTCGGACGCCGGCAACAGTAACATACGCGGAAGCTTGTCTCGGCATGCCTGAAGGAAGTAAGACGCCGACGTCCGACGTCGTGCCACCGATATCGACAACGATCGCGGAACTATCACCGCCAGAATCTAGGCCGGCAAGGTACGCTGCGCCTCGCATCGAGTTCGTCGGTCCACTCGAAAAAGTGCGGATAGGAATCTTCGCCGCTGATGCAGCGTCCAAGATAGTGCCGTCATTTTGGGTGAGGAATAAGGGACACGTCAGATTGAGTCTCTTGATAGCCAAGCGAAACCTGCTGACCGTCTTTCTCGCGTATCGCAGAATGGCGCCATTCAATATGGCTGCGTTCTCTCGCTCGATGAAGCCGATGCTAGCGCTGGCCTCTTTGCTGCACACCACATCGATCCCGGGAACCTCGCGGAGGATAATATCGCGGACCTTCTCTTCTTGGCCGAAAACCTCATCGATAGGCGAATAGACGCCCGAAATGACGACGGCCCCAACACCACTTTCGCGGATCTTGGCGCACTCAGCGACAACCTGGGCTTCGATGACCGGTGCTTCCTGGGAACCGTCGATGTGAAGACCTCCATCGACAATACCGACATACGATTTGAGCACGGCTGCCAGATCTGGCGGGAACTCGGCAAAGGCTGGAACCTCACGAAGGAAAGACTTGCTCAGCCGGAGGACACCGACTTTCTGGAGACGCCGGACATCGCGCTCAATAACAGCGTTGATGAAATGCGTAGTTCCAATTGTGACGCTGGCTATGCGCTCCGGAGAGTTTGTGAGATCGGCTGCAGCAAGAACGGTGCGTACTGCGGTCTCGATACCGGAGGTTGCGTCAGGGGTTGTTGGGGTTTTGAAGTGAGCTAGAACGCCACGGCTTTCGGTGTATTGAAGACTCAAGTCTATTGCGACAGCATCGGTGTTTGTGCCTGTTCTCATCCGATCAGCAAACATTCTTCATTTGTCATGCAGCTCACAATAAGGTAGCTTACCGCCGACATCGACGCCGATGCGTACAGTTCTGCGAGAGGGGGGCATTTCTCCCATGATGGTGGTCGACTTCAGAGATTGATAATCGTGCAGCCTTCTGGCAGGGTGGTTAGAGAGCTAGGTTTCTCATTTAAACCCATGCGGTTTGAAACGACGATCTCGCAGAAGAATTACCCCGAAGATGTAATTACGTGACTTGGTTACAAGATGTCGTGTCGTCGGAGATCATCCAACCGGCCGCGCGGGTCTGCCAAAGCGGATAAGCGGGTAAATGGAACTGAGACCAGAACCGTTTACCTGGGCTACTAGATCATTGTCTGCGTAGGCTTGCAACATCAACCATAAGAGAAGAGATACTGAGGGATATTCAGGCAGGTACAAGCGCGATGGTTCTCCAAAGGCATGCAGCTAATCATCCCGGCTGTCAGATGCCGAGGGGAGCCATGCGGGGTAGACTGGGTTATCCTGGGATCCTGGTGTTCGACAATTGCCTGAAGTTGCTCTTATCACCGGTGACCCCACAGACGGCGGTAAACTATGATAACAATCGCACAAGACGTTTGGTCTGAAGCTTTAGAGTTGGAGTCGTGACCCCAATGATAAGAGCCCATTCATCCGTTATTCATCCGTTCTCAGGACCTGCGCGCGCGATGCGAGCTTTATCTGTGGAGGCATGATGAAAGTGGCCCGGCATCAGGTGGGCGCGAATGCAACGTCCCCTGGGGCGATAGCGTGCGGTCATGGTAGAATACCGTCCGAAGTGTGCGGGTGGATGCTTGTGATCTCTTGGTTAAGCAGTTCCATTAAACAGGACGCATGCCCTCCGAATTCCTTCCGAACGACCCAACCTGTCGGGACTGCGAATTGCAAAATGGGCCTCAACGGTGTTCTCCGATGGCTGCGGCTGCCCGACACAGATGTAGCCGAGTCCAACATCTGGATCAATGAAGATCTTCGGCCAATGCCTCCAGATCGTAGGAGATGGACAACTTCAACATTTATCTCTTTCTGGCTGACCAACCAAGTTGCTAGTTAGTGTTCCCTGGCTACCGCGCTGTGTTGATAGCTGACTGATCTGACGTAGTTTCCAATTGGCAACTTGGTGCATCTCTCGTTGCAGCTGGTCTTTCTGTCTGGCAAAGTGTCATCGCCATTATCATTGGTAAAATCATCATCGCTGTTGTGGCCATTGCGAACGGGTGTGTGGGTGCAGAATGGCACATTGGGTTTCCCGTTGTGTCGCGTTACATCTGGGGTGTCTATGGACAGTATCTCATTCTGATTCAAAGAATCATCTTGAGTCTGGTATGGTTCGCCGTCCAGTCATGGACCGGTGGTTTAACCGTGGTCAACTGGTCAGTGTTGCTACACATAACATCAACTTCATCGTTCTAACTGGAGAATTCAGTCTATCAGCAATCTTCCCATCCTTCGAGTCGCTCGGCAATGTGTTTCCAGAGAACTCACACCTCACAACCAAGGACTTTATTGGGTGGATCATCTTCAATGTCCTGCTTATCCCAATTCTATACATTCGACCCGAGCGTATCCAGAAAGTTCTCCTGGCGTTCAACATCATCTCGTCGGCGACTCTGGTGTCAATCATGATCTGGGCCCTAGCAACTGCGGGTGAAGCAGGATCATTGGTACGACAAGGCTCAAAGTCAATGACATCTAGCGAGCTTGGATGGCAAATCGTCCACGGAATCACAACCGTTATCGGGAGTATTGCCGTGGGCTTGACTAACCAGCCTGACTACTGCCGTTTCGCCCGTCGCCCAGGCGATCAGATCTTTGGGCAGTGGTTCAGCATCATCTTTTTCGGAGCCATCTTCCCAACATTCGGATGCCTCGCTGCTTCCGCCACGGGGGTCATCTATGGCGAGCCGATCTGGAACCCACCCCTGATCGTCCAAGCCTGGCTTGATAACAATTACAATGCCAAAAGCCGGGCCGGTGCTTTCTTCGCTGGCCTCGGTCTTTTGTGTATTCAGCTGAGCATCAACTCCGTGGATAATGCGTTCTCGGCCGGCATGGACCTTGCTGGCTTATTCTGTCGCTACATCAATATCCGGCGCGGCGCTTACATTGGCCTGGTGCTCAGCATCGCGTTGTGCCCCTGGGAGCTTTTATCCTCTGCGTCCGTCTTCATTTCGGTGCTCTCCGCGTACAGTGTTTTTCTCGGACCTGTCATTGGCATTCAGATCTGCGACTACTTCATCATCCGCCGGCGCAAGATCAAGCTGTCGGACCTCTATCATCCTAGGTCAGATGGATCTTTCTACTACTGGAAAGGCATCAACCCACGCACCTTCATCGCCTGGGTGTGTGGTTTCGCGACTCAGCTGCCTGGCTTCGCAGCCAGTGTCACTCCCAACAGCGTCCGTGTGGCCGATGCTTGGATCAATCTTTACTATCTCGCCTTCCCTCTTGGTTTCGCCATATCGTTCTTACTGCACCTCGCTATCAACACCGTCTGGCCACCTCCAGAGGCTGGTGTAATTGATGAAATGGACTACTATGGGACATTTACTGAGGAAGAAGCAAGGAAAATGGGCGTGGTTACACTTGAGACGGAGATTATTGAAGGTTCACCGAAAGCTGTTGAAGCAAGTGGTTTCGACCAGGGTGCACGTGGTTGGCTTAAGTCAATGCTGAAGTAGTTGAAGAAGGCATACAATGTCTTTGCAATCTTGATGCCTAGGTAGACTTCTGGTTAGGTTCGCACCAGATATTTGAATTGAAGGAAAGCAACACACTCTGCGGCCACGTTGTATCTTTCTCTCTTTGACTCCCCTGTCCATGCTTTATGTATGACTGTACAAATATATAGCTCATTCAGAAACCCAGCATCAAGTCTTTTGACAGACGGGAATCTCCATATCCGCTAGTACTGGTCGATGATCCGAGTAGTAGACCCCATCGTCAAAACGATTGGACAGCACACCAAAGTTGTGAAACTCAATCCCTGTTGGATTCAAGACGAACAGGTGGTCAATGATCGTGGGCTCTGCCTCCCCAAACGTAGTATACGTAATAGTATTTCCATAGCGATGGGACTTGGGAACGAGGTTCTTCAAATCTGACATGCCGTCACGTTCCCCCGTTAATAATCTGTGTGGCTCTTCGGCTGGCCCGCTGTTGAAGTCTCCTCCGAGGAACACAGGAACGGCAGCTTGGTCGTCGGTGGAAGCCTCGGTCTGCCACTGTCTCGCAAGTCTTAGTAGTAGCTTTGCGCTTTCTGAGCGTGCCTCGGCGCTGCGATGGTCGAGGTGGGTGCTCATCACGACAACCTTTGTAGAAGAGACCCTGTGGCGGAAAAGTCCGATGGTGACTATACGGTTTATGGTTGCGCCCCAGGCGCTGGAGGGGACCTCTGGAGTAGGGCTGAGCCAATACGTCTGAGTCTTTTCCAAATCCCAGTGGTCGGTTCGATAGAATATGGGCGAGAACTCTCCGTCAACCTCCCCGTCGGCTCGTCCGCGGCCGATGTAACTCCATCGCGAACCTAGCTCAGAGTGCAGGTCGAGGAGTTGCTGGTACTGGGCTTCTTGGATGCAAACGAAAGTGTTCGCCTGCCCAAAAGTATGTATTCTCAGCTGAGCCGCCAGCCTTGGACAGCGCACATCCCAGGGCTCCTCATTGGGGAGAAGCGTTCTCTTGACAGCGTATCTGATGTTAAGGGTGATGATGCGGAGAGGCATTGTGTCTTTGACGGTCTTGTTATCCATGATGTTGGCTGAATGACACCCAAATTGTTGAAGCTGCTTTCGTACTGCCTTCTTCCGGTCGACCAGGCAGATTACTGCAATGGTGGCCACAGATGGAAAAGTGAAGACTGTCTGCAGGCGGATGAGATGTTTGAAAAGCGAATTCCGATCGCTCAAGAGGATGTTGAGGAGTCAACGATCAGACATAATGGCTTCGTTCCCATGGGAAATGAACCAGTTCCTCTAGAAGATGGGGCTATTAAGCATATTACAAATGTTATTTTCAGCTGACGGGGCCAGCTGACAAGTCAGTGCATCCACTGACGTTGGCGGTCTGGGCATCTAAGGTATCAAAAGATGCTGAGCTAGAGGAGGTAAACTCTGCGGTTTGGCCTCTGCAACAGCTTGCGGCTGAGTATGCTGCGGGCCCAGTCCCAGCCCCCAAGGAATATGTATTCCGGGGGCAGGTCCAACTCACTTGTCCCAATCCAGTAGATGTTCCAACAGCGGGCTAATGCACGCTTAATTTTGAGAAGAAAAACGAAAAACGTCTTCTTCAATCGGATCAAGACTGACTAGAGCATCCCGTCACATCCCGTCACGCCTCGCAGACCTCCGCAGTATATCGTTATTCGGGAAGCCTGCCGCTTGCCGCTGAGTTCCACATCGCCGTCCCGCCGGACCGGGCCCAACGCTACCAACAAGGCTTAGTCCGGGAATAGGGGTCCTTCACTGAGTCAATCGGCGAAGGCATGTTTGCAGCTTCGATCAAAACTTCTCTCCAACATTGAGCTTAATCAGCTCATGTTTGTCAGCCGGGAAAAGTTCCAGAACACGACGAAATTTGAACCGGTGGGCTCAAAGCGGGAAACAATGCCGAGTTCCCTGTCACCATGCCACCCTTGCAGCGGGCTGTCGCTATTACCGCATTAGGAAGCCCGACGCTGACCATTACCTAAAAGTCGGGCCAAACTGACGGAGCCTCTACCGGGTTCCCAGCTTGCGCTCGTTCGGACGCAAATGTTTTCCAGCTGCTAACCGGCGTTCAGCCGTTATTATCGGTTGGTCGTCTCTATGTAATTGATGGTTTGCGGTTTGTATGCGTTGAAACCCGTCAGATTTCCTCCTCGTTGTAACCCCCTGCTCCAGCACTCGAAGGCGGAAGATGGGTCCAAGCAGCAGCGCACAAACCATCGAGTTGCAACAGCTTCCAGCATTGCCAGCTGGTGCTGGATTGCAGGCAACAACAAAGCTTGCCGACGACGATGTTGCGATATCGCCATTTAGAGAAACGGAGAGAGACTTGAGTTTGTTGAGTCCCAATCACAGTGGCAGTTCTCCTCAATCTACACCTCCCGAGGATGCTGTTGAGATCTTCCAAAAATGGAACTATCCTCGTTCAAACGTCGCCCGGATACTGTCCATCTTCTGGAGTCTGATGGTCATGGGCGCAAATGACGCGTCGTATGGAGTGAGTGATTGCTCTCCGGAAACTACTAAATTGTAAAGCGTTTTGACATGGTACTTACATGACTATCTCAACTATTTAGGCTATCATTCCCCATGTAAGTCAATACAAGACCTCCTGTGTGTCAGGTGGGTTGGTAAGTGAGGCAAGAAACTAACTGGGCGACCTCAGCTGGGTAAATACTATGAGTTGCCCTACTCGTTTACGTCGCTCATCTTCCTCGCGCCTTTCATCGGCCATACGCTGTCAGCGGCCCTGAACACCAGTCTCCACGAGACTGTCGGGCAAAGAGGTATAGCCATTATTGGCTCGGGATGTCACCTTGCAGCATATATCGCCATTTCACTTCACCTACCATACCCAGCACTCGTATTCATCTACATGCTTGCCGGACTGGGCAATGGTATTGGTGATGCTGCCTGGAACTCATGGGTAGCTAGCAACCTGGCAGATTCCAATGTGGTTATCAATTCAATGCACGCTTGCTACGGTCTCGGCGCCGTTCTGGGACCGGTGACTGCAACCACTATGGTCGTCAAGGCCGGTCTTCCTTGGTACGCGTTTTACTACTTCATGGTATGTCTCTGCAGTTCGTCCACACTGTCTCAAGATTAGCTGACACAAAATCTAGGCTGGCTTAGCGGGCATAGAGCTCGTCACAACATCGACCACATTCTGGTCTGCAACCGGCAAAGCTTACCGAGAGGCCAACCCCAAAGGCCCGGAACCAAGAGAGTCGATCGTTCATGAAACGCTTTTCAAGCTACCCAATGCGAGAACAACATGGGTTTGTGCCATATTTGCACTGGGATATGTTGGGCTCGAAGTATCGCTGGGTGGATGGATCGTCACCTTTATGTTGCAGGCCCGGCACGGCGAGGAATTCGCCAGCGGCATGACAGCAACAGGGTTTTGGGCTGGACTAGCTGCAGGTCGCATAGCCCTGGGTTTTGTCACTCCACGCGTAGGAGAGAGATTTGCCGTGATGGTTTGTCTACTATGCAGTCTCGGTCTCTGGAACAATGCTGACCTATGTCACACAGGCTTATCTCGGGGCCGCCATTTGTCTACAACTTCTCTTTTGGCTGATCCCGCAGTTCTTCATATCGGCCATCACAGTTTCACTCCAGGGCTTTTTCCTAGGGCCGTTGTTTCCAGCCATCATGATAGCTGTAACAAAGTTGCTGCCAAAGCACTTACACGTCAGTGCTATTGGATTTGCCATCGGCCTAGGAGGTAGCGGTGCCGCAATTCTTCCGTTTGTGATAGGGGCGCAAGCTCAACGACACGGTGTACAAGTACTATCACCGATTGTGTTGGGAGCTTTGGTGTTCTTGTTAGTGACGTGGTCTTTCTTGCCTAGCTTCGGTCGAAAGCAAGACTAGAGGGTGAATGGTTGAAAGCAAAATTTCTTCTATGATAATTAGCTTCAAATGGTCGTAATATGATGAGCGTACACTACCCCTCAACTCTGTCTACATATGTTCTTACAAGCTATCTGCACAAACAAATGTTTGGCCAGCTTCCATGGGTATTCACATACAACCGCTGCTCAATAAGCGCCCGCATATTTTGGGTATTGACGAAGTTTTTGGTGCGTCGAAATGATTATCCAATTTGATAGCTTATTCTAGCTACATGTAATCGACGAGACACTTGGGGGGTTGCTGCTATCGCTCCTTTCCAGCATTTCATCGTCAATATGGTTTCCATACTCGGGAGGCACGTCCAAACCACCGTCAGGCTCCACCAAATCCACCGCCTCCGGGCTCTTCGGCCACACAAAATTGTCAAACGCATCAATGGGTATCTTTGGAGAAACAAATAAAACAATAGGCAAAGTGGCGTGGTATCGGAACTACAGTTTCGTTAGCATGCAGTCTAAGATATGTCTCCTCGCATGATACTAACCTTTAACAAGTTGTCGTCAGACTGAGCAACGTCGACAGCTATATGAAGTGTGTGTGTTGTACCGAGTCCTTCTGTGTCCATATCTGAAGAACACTTCTTCGGGTCTGTTGGTAGTGGTAGGTTTTGTATTACTCGATACACAGGTTGGCCGCAATCTTCCGGGTTTTCCACCGGCGCAAACCATTCCGCAACTTGGCGATCCCCATCGAATTGCTGCAGGGGTCGAGCAGTATTAATGGCAAACTTGTGAGACTCCAAGAGCTCGCACTTGATCTGCTTGATTTGCAACTTCTTGTTCAGCGGCGTCAGCTGTATCTCGAGGGGTACCGTTGTGCCGAGGGCTACAGCCTTGTGTGCTATCGATATGCAATATCGGATGTTGTCTGCCCAAGTCCCTTCCATGTACATGGGATCCATCAACTCAAAGGCCGAGTTCTGGACCGTTCTGTTGATACGAATCGGTTGGTGGGCGGTAGGCATCGATGTCGACGTCTTTCCTCGGATTGTCGATGCAGAGAGCTGGTATGATATGCTGCAGCAGCTGCACCCTCGGAATGTCTCTGGCGTGTTGCCGGGTATGATCAACTTGAAGGGCCACTCGTGGGTTTCGATGTCACCCGATGCGGTCGAAGAAACCTTTTGCCCGTGGTCGATGACGAATGGAGGCAACTCGTCTTCATATATGGGAATGGTACGAAAGTCGGGCCTCTTTGCGCTTACATCGTGGTCTCTAGAAAGCACACGGTTAGTTTCAAGATACTCAATTGTGTGAATTTCATACGCACCTGCACCGAAGAAAGCCAACCATTCGAAGCCGTACTCCGGTGGCATGCTGCCCGCAAGGCAGGCGCAAACTGAGCACTCCGCTAAGGGTTTGCTCGCTAGCTTCATCAACTGGTCCTCTCAAGAAAACAAAGTCTTTTTTCAATCTGAATGGTTCAGTCGTCAGCGAAAAGATCGCATCGAGGAACTTGGTGTTTCATACCGGATCTTGAGACAAGCACTTCCGTCCCCACGAGTGATTCGAGATAGGAAGGACCGCATTATTCAGAAACCCCGCTTCTCAAAGAGGTAGTCGGTTTTGATATGGCCAACGAGAACCCATTATGGTCATGATGATGGGAGGCGGAACGATAATAAATCAAGAGACGTAGTGAATTGAAGGTGGAAATTTCTCGTCCATGTCGCCACAGGCTGATCAATTGTCCGCGGCAGAAAACATTCGTACTGCTGATACAGGCCGACATACGGTCATGTTCAGCCCTAAGGCAGACGGAGGCATCCGCGAAGGAGCCAGGGGCTCACGCGAGATGGAAGCAAGGGTCCAAGCTAGTTGCATGGTGCCAATGCCGGTGGAGAGTATTTCCTGAATAGGAAAAAGCGGTTGATTGGGGGCAGTTTTCCGAGCTCGGGTTTCCTCCGTTAATGACATGTAGCAAGAAAATTTCATATGATCATGAGAGAAGAAAAGCCATGATTGACGTCGTGGCGTCGCCTGATTTCTGCACTGAAAGAATATGGCTGCAGACTGGATAATTCTACGCGTATGAATCGCGCTGGGTTGACTCATGCGTGAGGTACTGGCTTACAAGGCCTGCGAAACCAAACCCTCAATTTTCCTATGGCGGGATTTGTATTCCGCCTTGCAATAACAGAGAAGCTTAGCATGTGTTAAGGCTCTCTTACAAGGAGTCTTTTTTCGTGACACATTCCTGGTTCTTGTTTGCTAATGAGACTCGTCCAAGTCGTGTAAGTCGTGGAACGGACCGTGGCGCCGAATCTCCCTGCGAAACGATGCGGAGTTCGGCGGAGTTGGGGCCGGAGATGTCCCTTGGAGTAACTACCGGACTTGCCTGATTCAAGAGGTCTGCTTGTGTGGGTAATCCTCGGCTAAGATGCCATCCCAACGGCTTGACGACGTCAGTGTTTCGTAGGACGGAATTCAAATTCCTGGACGAATCAGCGGCGAGAATTACTCTGCTCGTTGGACCAGACTAGCTGGCCGGTTGCACCACAGAATGCACGCCAGTTCATCGACGATCATATCATCTGACGCGGGTCGCACATAAACCTGCTGGAGCTATTTCCACTAACATTTTTAGCCCCTGGTCGAATGAGACATGAGTGTTTGCTCTGGTCGCAGTGCCGGTCACATGCCTTGGCGTGGTCTTTTGGCAGGCTTAGAAATCTTTCCCCGCCGGGAAGGAGTCATCATTTTTGCTGCCAAATCTTCCCGTTCTGGCTTCATGGAAAACTCGCGATGTGTTGGCCGATGATTTCCCGTCGAACAAACAGCATCTAGGCGGCAGACCACGTCCATCCTGAGTCCATCCTGAAGCTAAGAAAACAACATTTAATCCTGTTCCTGCCGTCTTTCATCTCGTATTGTGTGATCAGTGAATTTCTCGGTGATAAGTCGTCGCCTGTTGCCATTCGTCTTCTCTGGATTGCGCCGTCATCGTCTCCATCATTCAGCCTCAGCTGAGCATTTACGCGCCCCGTTCACAAGTCGCCTTGGCATTTCCAGCAATGTCGCAGGCCTTACTGTCTATGTCCACCATCACGAACATGGCTGCGCTCCCCGCATTTGGGGGCCTCAGTCTGGTCCAGCTGAGTGAGATCCTCGATCGCTCACTCGATACAAGACTTGGACGCGACCTATCAAGCACCCCTGCGAACCTCTCACGGGTGGTCTACATCCCCAGACACAGGGACATCACTGTCCATCTTCCACTGTACGATGTGTCAAGCACCTACTTTGATGCTGTCAAGAAGGAGCCGATAGGAAGCAGCAAGTACAAGCTGAACCTTGCCATGATGAGAAGGCCAAGCGGAGATGGAACAGATGGCGAGGTGCGTTACCTTGTTGATTTCCAGGAGGATGCCAAAGAAAAGACTGTGGTAGTCGAGCGCAGAGTGCCCACACATAACGGGGAAATAGTCAGCATGTAAGTCAACTTCATGGGTACCTGTTTTCTTGACAGAGATGCTAATGCCTATCAAAAGGACTTTGCCGAAAGAAGGAGACGGTAGCTTCCAAGTCGAGCCGTTGAACACAGGCTCTAATGCGCGCCTGTCGCTTCACAGCTCATTTCCTGCTCCCGACACGAAGATAGTGGAGCAGCAAGTTCGGCACCCCTGGTTCACGATATCTCATCGCACAAACACAAGTGCGGACGCACAGCCTTCAAACCTGGAATGGCAGACATGTCCCAGAGAGCACGGTGCTCTCCGATACACGCTCGTCGACACAAGCGTAGAGCCTACAGATGGCAAGCCAGTCGTGCACGCCATTTACCACCACGCTGGAATCGCTTTTGCCCTGCCCCACGATTACAGCGAAGGCGTTCTTCTTCTATCGGGAGATCTCAATGATGAAGCAGAGGCGTTGGCTGTCACGACCCTGCTGGGTCTGCTGGAACGAGTTCGCCAGGTTAACCAGCCTGCACCCCGACCGAGAAAGAAGTCTCTGGTGAAGAGGGTCCTGGGAAAGATTTGAGGCAAGAAATTCGGCGTGGAAAGAATTATTGCCAAAAAGGGAGATTGTTTGAAATTGTGTGGGACGGAAGATGCTGCATTGGGAATTTAATTACTACTCACATTCTGCTGGGATTTTGCAACAAGCGGGCCGGCAAGACCGAAAACCTCCCCGGCCATGATACCCTCAAAATTTGTATTATCAATTTTCTTATACCACAGTCATAGCTTAATTACAGCTCACTCTCCTTTCTACTAGATCCGCGTTTCCCTCCTCTATCAACCCCGTCACTATCCTCTATCATGCAGCGGGTAGCGGGCAGCGCTCTAAAACCACCTGCAAAAATGCCCGTGCCTTGACGAAGTCTAATGTTGCTTCCTCGCCTAAACATAGATGTCTATGGATATGCACTTAGTATGGCATCCTGCTGATCTGATTAGCTTCGCCGGAGCACACCTACAACTTCGTGACAGTCTCGCGGCCTGCTTGAGAGGAGCTTGATAGCCAAACTCGGCGCGAACATTGCCCATGATTATCTAGAGCTTTGGGGATTTTTGTAGTCGAGAGTAAGCGATAGTCTTATAAGGTCAAAGCTCCTAAATATCCAAGCTGAATGCCTAGATCCTATCAACATTTATATTACAAACCCGCATCCCGAACTTCAGCTCATGTGTAGGTAACCAATGAGGCCAACCCAATCCGTGCGCGCCTTCAAAGACGTTGTGACTGACAAAGCTTTGAATCTCGAACTTGTACCTCGTCTGTTGATCGTTTGATTATGGCTTGCAACAATATCATACTGTTGATAGGGCATCGTTTACTGTCGCTGATGCGCACATCCATGTAACGTCTGGAATGTCGAACTGCGTTTTTTGAGAATCTAAAAACACTTCATTACAGACCGAGGGACATCCTAAAAAGGTTTCCCCTCCCATAGGATTCGCCCTTAAGCCACCAGAGGGCTGAAGTCTAGGTCATCAAGTCTTGACTCAAACGGTTGGTAGTGACTGAACGAATTGAATAATTATATCAATTCTTAAAACATCTATAATTACGATTTACAATGCAACTCTGTCAAACGTTCCGATGTCGGGTGTCACACCCAGAAGTCGCCGTCTTGAGTTTCACTTGGTGGTGGTGCCGCTGTCGGGATGGTCACCCGACATGATAAGACCTTTCCGATCCGACACGTCGGGACCGCGCACCGACTAGCCCTTTCCGGGGTCACCCCCCATTCCTTGCCTCCGACACTGCAGAAAATGGTCATTCTTATCTCAAGAAACTTAATTCAAAGGATCCGATAACGCCTCTTCTCCAGATTTTGGGTCGCGCGAGAGCCAATCAGTGCCAATGAACCGTCTTGTTTGCATCTTCAATTCCCGTCCGTCTTATCCACCTGGTGGAGCTCTGGGAATTTTGGACGAACGCCGCCAGAACCCGCGATGGAGCAGAGCCTCAATGGCACTGACTATCTTTAGTGCGTATCTGGGGTCTGAGACAAATCTCGGAAAGCCGTTCGGTGGGAGGGGTGGTGGGCTCGGCGAAGCTGCTCGACGATACCCCAAGTCATGCCGCCACTTTGACACATCTAAGGTTTGTGCCGGCCGTAGCCGTCCATAGCAACTATATCTAACCCTCCCTCATCTATCTCTCCTTCCTTCGTGACTGAGCACACCTCGTTCATCCAAACTCTACAACACTTCACGATGTCATCCTCTGTTATGCGCAGGCGCGTGCCCGTGCCTCTTTGCAGATCTCTTCGTCTGCAGGGAGCACCAAGAAATGTACACACCACGGCGGCCAACCGTACTAGCACCGCGGTGCCAAAGCCTCAGACTCTTATTCCCCAGACCACAACAACAACAACAAAAAGATCGGCCCTTTCAAGATTACCAACACCAACCCTCCTCCGATCGCTATTCCTCACACAATTCACATCTTCCCCACTATTGATGAGGCTATCACTACCAATCCTCGGCTTCATCACAACATCGAAATCACTACTATTCAACCCCGACAGAAACCCGCTTCTAAGCAAGCTGTTGAGATGGACGATATACGACCACTTCTGCGCAGGAACGAACGTTCCGGAAGTTAGGAAGGCAGTCGCCAACGTTAAGCAGATGGGTTACCAGGGAGTCATTCTCAACTACGCTAGAGAAATCGTCCTGGACACGAAGAAGGCACAGGCAGGATCGAAGGAGGGAGACTACGCACCGGCCTTTTATCAGATGGTGCAGGAGTGGAAGAAGGGTAATCTCGACACGCTCCAGATGATGGAGCCTGGCGACTTCATTGCCGTCAAGTAAGTCTATCCAGTCTCGTGCCCTAGAAGCTCAATGACTAACATAAGATCCTCAGAGTTACTGGCGCTGGTCCTATCGCCGTGGATGCTATGCGGGGTTCTGCTGCCGTTCCCAAGGTTCTCAGCGAGGCCCTTGATGAGATTTGCGAAGCCGGAAGACAGAAGGGTGCCCGTGTCTGGATCGATGCCGAGCAGCAGGCTCTCCAACCGACACTGGACGAGTGGACCATCGATCTCATGAGAAAGCACAATCGCGAAGCCCGCCCTCTAGTTTTCAACACCATCCAAGCATACCTCAAAGGCTCCACTGCCAACGTTGAGCGTCACATTGCCCTCGCCGCGAAGGAAGGCTGGAGTCTCGGCATCAAGCTCGTCCGCGGCGCTTACATCGAGCACGAAGTCCGCTCCCTGATTCACGACACGATTGAGGACACTCACAACTGCTTCGACGGCATCGCCGACATGTTCATCAGCCAACGACTGCCCAAGGGATCCGAGGGTCTGCAGTTCCCGTCGAGCGCGCTGTTTCTCGCCACCCACAACGCCAACAGCTCCACGAAGGCTATCTCCGCGCACCGACGCAGGCTGCTTGAGGGAAAGACCACGACGACTTTGGAGTGCGGCCAGCTCATGGGATTGGCGGATGAGTTGAGCTGCGAGCTCTTGGACAACTACGACACCTGCGTGACGGACTCTGGGTTGAAGAGGGATGACATCCCCAAGCCTTTCAAGTACATCCCGTGGGGTTCTGTGGCGGAGTGCATGGGCTACCTGCACCGCCGGGCTATTGAGAACAAGGGCGCGGTCGAGAGGACACGGCATGAAGCTGTCATTCTGAAGAATGAGCTGCGCCGGAGAGTCTTTGGTTAAGGTGTTGGTTTGAGCGATGCATCAAAATTAGACTATATCCCTAGATAATGACAAGCGAATTGATATCCTTTCATATGTTCATTTCACGTTCATATCTTCAGCCATTGTGTGATGTTTATGTGGATGAAAGCCAGGGCTCGAGATGTGTCTCCACGTCATGAAATCTTGACTGACATAGGCGGCTTGCCCAGGTGTAAGTCACTTGTACGTTTCACTTCAAGTCCCTAGTTACAAGTCTGCAGAGTAATCGCTTGATTGAACCAATTTCATTCCCAATTTGCAATCAACAAAAAAGAATCAAAGACAACGACCTCGCTGCGTCCTTTGCGCCCTGCAGAGGAACGCTCACATGGACACCGCAATTGCATTCGATCCCTCTGCGGCCTGTCCGGGACAAGCCTCGCGGTCTGTCCGTCGCGGTTGATAACAACAACAGCACTGATTGGCTAAGAAAAGTCGGGATGGCTTTCCGATCTCCACTTTGACCATCAGCTCGGATGTCAGGAATGTCGGAGTGTCCGTCCGACATTGCGTCAACCCTCAGCTAGCCCATATCGAGCAGGAGCCGAGTGATCGAGTGTCGTCCTCCGAGAGATCGACTTGCATCCCCTTCAATGCTGATATCTTCATTCTGATTGCGGTGTCTTTTCGGCTTGAATCTCCATGCCGATGTGTTCCGTCTGGGATGACAACCCAATTGCCTCTGCGTCTCCATATACTCGGCATTTTCGGCTGGGATTATCTATCTTTGGCTCTTCCAAACACCCTCGTGATCTATCAACAAAAAGTCAATATCGAAAGGGGCTTCTGCAATTGCATGGCCGAAGTCACAACCCCGTTCAAGCATGGCCAATGCTTCCTCTCAGCCCCGTTTTCCCCGCGAACAATCTTGACTGAAGTGACGATCGTTCATGTCATCCAATGGTCACCGAGCATCCGTACCCCGGACTCCGCGTGCTCCCTACATACACAGACGCCTCTTGCGTTGACATGACACAGGCTCAGCATGGCCACATGACTTTGTATGTGTCAATCCAATGTAACCATCTCCAGACAGACTCCGATGCCAGGAAGGACACAAAGTGTGGGGTAACAAGGCATCCCCTCCCTCTGAGTCTTCTCCCTTCTGCCGCACTGATAAGACCCCGGAATACGGAGCAAAAAAAGCCACTCGGCTATCTGCGGTGCGCGTCAGCTACTCGCACCCCAGCGCTGATAAGCCATCCATGAATGCGCTAAACCGCTTGGCCTGCGCAGTGGCAGACACCTAAATAAAGACAACGCGCTGCCGCAGCCATGAGTTCCGTAGTCGGAAGCTCGCTCCGACAATATCTGCAACGGCGAACGAACAACACCAACAAGAGCCCTCGCTCAGCGAAACGACATGGAATTCAGTGACACGAGCCCTGGAAACCGTTCAAGATGCCGCAATTAAGCCAGGGACAGTACAAAGTGACGAAAAAATGTCAAAAAGCGTGCGTGCGGGGAACCCCGAAGACGGAATGGGAGGGCTCACATGACTAACATTTTTTTCTGTGTTTCTGAAAAATAGTTGCGAAAGATGCAGAGTGATGAAGGTCAAGTGCTCGGGCTCACAACCGTGCACGAGATGTGACCGGAAGAAGCATCGGTGCATCTTTGCGGTTGAGGATAAGAGAATATCGGTCCCGGAGAGGTGAGTTGTCGGTGAGCGGGCGGGCGCGTGTGTTGTCGGGACTCTCCAGTTGACCCACTCAATCAGTTACCTCCGTGAACTTCAGAATCGGAATAGCGAACAGGCCTCGGATCGGTCGGTGAGGGCGGTGAGCCGGGGCCATGATATTGACGATGGTCCTTCGCGGTACAGCGAGCCGTATGGGACGCCGCATCGTCAAACCTTGCCTCGGCGTGAGGAGGTGACTGCGCAACTGGAAACTCCAAGTCACGGTTGGTTCTTGAATCCAATGTGAAGACCTCCTGAGTTGTGCATTGAGACTGACTTGAATACATAGACAGTCCACTACTTGGCGGAGACCAGCAGTCTGAGCCAGAGTCTGAGCCCGATGATCGTGGTGATACACCTGCAAACCACGGTGACTTTGGCCCGGGGTTCCGACAGAACCCGTTAGTCGACAACGACTACACGTTTGCCAAAGCAGGCGGGAAGTACTGTAAGTCCTTTCTCTCGCCATCTTCTTAAGGATGGACGCGCTGACGGAGGCCCTCAGGGTACATGGGGCCAACTTCATCATGGTCCTTCTGTCGCAGAGTCCTCGCCCTGCTTGGGAAGAGAATCCCAGAAGCAGCGCCAGATCCATGGCATCTCCCTCACGAGGGAGCTTTCCGGATGCAATGGAAACCACTTGGCATCAATGAGGAGCCAGATGTGTCGAACCTCCCGCCATTTGACTATGCCATGTTTCTCTTCAACACGGCCAAGTTCTATCTCGGCGCGGTGTTCTACCTCATCGACGAGAAGTTGTTCATGAAGAATTTGCATGAGTTCTATGATGACCCTGCTGCGAAAGCAAGCTCATCAAGGCTATGGTACGCACAGTACCTGCTGATACTGGCCTTTGGCAAAGCATTCGTGGTATCTCAGAGCAGCTCCCATACCGGTCCGGCAGGCGTCCAGTATGCTACGAGGGCCATGTCATTGCTGCCGGACCTGTCCGGACTCGAACCCGATACAATATCGTCGATCCAAGCTCTTGCTTTAGCGGCTGTCTACTTTCAGTGTCTCGATATGAGACTGGCGGCATTCCAACATGTGAGTTGGCGTGATGGTCGATGAGAATACAAGTACTAATTCTGGCCCAGATCGGACAAGCTTTGCGTATCAGCATCGTGGAAGGCATATACCGGCACATGCCGGAAGAGGTCGTCGGCGTGGAACATTCGCGACGCTGTAATATTGTGTTCTGGGTGGTGTACACCTTGGACCGGGAGTTCTCTGCTCTGATGGGTGCACCCAGCTCCATCCGAGACGAGGACATTACAGTGAAGCTCCCTTCGCAAATGGACAACTCCTTGGACGCCCTGAATATGACGCTCCACGTCCGGCTTTCGCGTTTGATGGCGCGCATTCTCACTAGTGAGTCTTTGACCGCGCGTAGTTTGAGCTTCCACTCGTTGACTTGAGACCTTAGCGGTGTACGGTGTCGGCAAGTCGTTCGACGGGTCCCTTGTGTCAAATACGCAGTCCATCCTCCGAGACCTTGCACGGCTTTCTCGAGACTTGACGGCGCTTCTTGACACTCACTTCCAGGGTTCGGTGAGCAGAGCTTCGAGGATGGCCTTGAGGCTCATCCTCTCGTACCACCACGTAAGTCAACACCGTACCCGGGCTCGAAGACATTCAGCTTAGACGTCCAGTGCGTTGTTCTTACAACTCGACCTCTGGTCATGTGCGCTTTGCATATCCACATCGAACATTCCGATCTACGAGCTACGCAGACAGTCTCTTTGACGCCACCCGTTGCGTCACTGCTACAATCATGCGTCGATTCCGCCCAGACAGTCCTCAGGACACTCCGAGTGCTAGGCGACGAAGATCTGCTAGGTCAGTCGATATTCCCTGTACCCCATCAGTATATCCCAACACAGCGATCAAGATGCTAACTGCCCTTCAGAGGCTTTCCTCCCCTTCCAACTCGAAGACGCCTTCTCCTCCGCCTTCCTCCTCTACCTCGTCCGCGTCATCGACCCCTCCCTCCTCCACGACGACACCTGGTGCGAAAACATCAAATGCGTCCTGGACAAGATGATATCCAAGGGAAGCCTCGTGGCCCCGCTGCGCAAGCTCGAGCTCAGCCAGCTGGAGAACATCATGACGGCTTTCACCCCGGCACCGGAACAGCCCCCGACGCCGTCGCCGAGCACGGCTCATCCGCAGCATCACGACCACGGCTCGTTCTTGGACCAGATGGATCACGAGGAACCTGGCTGGGACATTTTCGACACGAGCGGGATGGGCGGTCTGTCGCCGCAGGCGTTGCTGGACTTGGCTGAGAGGTTGGACGTGGAGGATTTGATGCAGTCTGAGGTTTCATGAGAATTTCACGAGAATAATGATGGTCATGTAGTAATGTCAGTGGGCGATTCCTAGGAGCAAGTCATCATGAAGCCCAATCGGCCGTGTCATCTATTTCATAGAGAAGCTTTCGCTTCTTCGTTGGACGGGCTTGCTAGTCATTGGAGTCCTTGGCGGACTGCAGACATGAACTGTGCGAGGACAACCACATCAGCTCGAAGCTCAAGATATCTTCTTGGGCATGAAGAGGACTTACGGGAATCACCTGGGCCTTCTCAAGGTCCCAAACGCCGTTCTTGGCGTACACATCATTCTTGATCAACTCCCACGCCTCATCGGCATCCTTGACAGTGTAGATGATCATGCTGCCCTTGAAAGCGGGCGTCTTGCCTTCTGAGGGATGCTCAGACTCGAACATGGCTCCTAGGATATCTCAGTCAGATCTAGCCAATTATTCATATTCATGAGGTCACGCACCGCCGACAGCCACCTTGCCTTCCGAAGCAGCAGACTTGGCCGCAGCCAAATGAGTACTTGTGAACCGTCAGCTCCCTTATCGTAGCACCATTGCCTATCTCATGAGATAGATACTCACGGTCTAATCTCCAAGCGCTTGGCGAGCGCGTCGGGCTTATCCGGGAGGATGCAGAGGAACTCCTTCTTTGCGGCGGTGGCCATTGTGCGATATGTGAAGGTGAACGGTGAAGTCTGGGCGACGAAGCGGCTTCTTCGGGTTACGTATCGAGATGCGGGGATGAGAGGCGTCCGCAAGATGCGTGTGGGGATGGACATTGTGGGTTGAACGGAGGGGGTTTGCGGAGATGGCTGCCACTGAGTCGCTGACTGTTCAACGGTTCCGTTGAGTGAGAGTGCGTCATGTGATGTGCGGAGGTGAGAGTCGGGGTGCGTGTTCAAATGCTCCGACGTCGGACCCGACAACCGAGACTAGCCGGCGTTGGTCGGTGCTGGTGACCCCGGGACTTCCGGCCACGGTGTTCCCCCCGGCATCGTGCAGTATGGGTTAGGGCTCTACGAAGGGGGTTCCGGAAGTAGTTCGGCAGAATGGACTACTCCTTGAGTGCTGGCTTGCTGTTATTAGAAAAAGGAAGCCAAAAAGACGGCAAAAAAGATGAGGTCGAGCCCGGGTTCGAACCGGGGTTGCCGGAAGACTTTGAGGTGATCAAAATCCGGCTGATTGGGAGTCAGCATGGGAATGAACAGACGCGCTGTTGGTGAGGAGAGCTTACAGTGATAACCACTACACTACACAACCGACTGTGCATCAGAGTGGAGGCACGCGATGCCAGATTGACACACGAATCCACATTATGGATGACGATGACACGTCGCGCTTGTCCGCAAGCGAGAACGCGAGGATGCAAGGTCCTTGACGCGTCATGACACGACGAGGGGAACTCCAGCCCGAACAGTAGCACAAGCTTATTTGTTGGTCTTGAAACATCAAACATGAAGACAATGTCTATGATATATGCATTGGCTAAGATTAATTACAATAGGTCTTACTAACTACAACACCTAGACTATGCCCGCTTCAAGCGCCGCATCGACATGGAACTCGTAAACCGACCGCCCATACAACTCAATGCTCTTCCCCCCATACACAAACCTCCCCTTCGTCGTCGTCGGCGCCCGAATCGTCACATAGAGATCGCCCCCCTCAACCTTCCACTCCGCGCTCAAGTCCCCATCAAACGCAGTCACAACCTTGGCCCTCGCCGTCTTCAACCCCATCTCGACACCGGCCGCCGGCGCAACCACCCAATTCCTGTACCCGAACCCGTCCGTCCCCGCAGCAGGCTGCACCCCCGCCGCCCACTCCGTCAGCACATACGTCGCCGCGCCTCCCCACGGGTGACTCAGGCTCGTGAACAGCCCTAAGCCGGGCTGCAGCGTCGCGGCGTTGACGTACTCCCAGCTCGTGCCGACCGCGCTCTTGTTCGCGGCCTCGGTGCCGGGCAGCATCGCGCCCCAGAGGCTCTCGATGAGCGCCTTCCCCGTGGCCGTGGCGTTGCCCATGAAGAGCGCGTGCAGGAGGAAGCCGTTGGTGTTCGGGGAGATGTTGATGCTGCTGTCGTTGGAGGAGACGAGCGAGGTGTCCTTGTATCCGGGGCCGAGCTTCAACAGCGAGAGCGCCTCGATAGAGCGCGCGGTGCGGTTTGCGGAGGCGACGCCGGAGGTGATGCAGAACGCTGTTCCCGCGACGGAGGTGTCGTTCAGGGAGGCGAGCGAGTATCCGTACGCCCCGATGCCGTCGTTCCACAACTTCTCGTTGATCGCGTCGGCCAGCGAGGACGCGGCTGTGCGGTACTTGGTCGCGGAGGTCGTGTCGTTCAGCATGGCAGCCACGTCGGCGGCTCCGTTGAGGCTTTGCACTGCTTCGCAGGAGATGGCCGAGCCCCCGTCCGCGGGACCGGTGAAGGCGAAGCCGCCGTCAAAGGTGAGTAGGCCCGTTGTCGTGTTGATCTGCGGGAGAAGCCAGTCGATCACCTTTTGCCACTGCGGCCAGGTCGACCGCGCCCAGTCGAGGTTGTTGGTCAGGCGGACGTGGTCGTTGAAGGCCATGAGGCCGAGGAGCTGATAGTCCTGCAGCCCGTAGCTTCCAGATGGCGCCAGGGCGTTCGCGATGGACTTGAGGTCGTAGCCTAGGTTGGGTGAGATGCTCATTTGGCCATTGGCGATCTGGGTATCGAGCAGCACCTGCAGCGTTCCCCGAGACTGGTCCGTTCGTGATGTGCTGATGGCCGAGATGCGGGCGGTGTGGTAGAAGTCGCCGAGCCAGACGAGCCTGTCGCGCTTCGGCCCGTCCAGGCAGACGCTCTCATAATTGGCTCGCGTGCCGTACTCGACCAGCACATCTTGGCTGGTGAGATTGTTCGAGTAGAGGGTTGAGCCGTTGGCCGTATCGTATGCGTGCGCGTTCTTGAAGTAGGCCGCGTGGTCTTGGTAAGCACCGAATCCGAAAGAGCCGGTGAAGTCGGGAGTCCCGGAGTACGAGGCGCCTGATGAGATCAGAGCCCAGGGGTAGTCGGAGCGTGAGATGTTAAAGACTTGCGTATCGTTGATCGAGACCGCCAGATGACCGCTAGGCGACATGGATGTCGAGATGTGGTACCAAGTATCCTCCTTCACGGTGAAAGGAACCTTGAAGACGTCCAAGAGGTAAGATGTCAGGGTCGTCTGGTTCACGAAGTCCGGGCCGTATGAGAGCGAAATGGTGTTCGGAGGTGTAAGAGTCTCATTGACATTGGCAAATCGGTTTGACTCGGGGAGTTCGCCGGTGAGAAGGATGGTGTATCCGTTGCCCGCAATCGCTCCGCCCTGGATGTTGGTCAGCTCACGGTCTTCCAAGACCACCATAATCATCCTCGTGCACTCACCGTAACCCACCAACTACCTCCCTTCTTGATTTTGGTATCGAACTCCACTGTGTAGTTCGTCCACGCAGTCGCCTTCCACGTCATTGAGGGTCTCGTGCTCTGTGCCAGCACACCATTCTCCTCATCAACCGTCCAAATAGCCGGTTGACTTCCCTTATCAACACATGCAGCCGTCGCAGCCCTGGCGCCCAGCTTCCAAATCTCATTCAAAGCCTCATCGTCGCTGGAAAACTGGCCCGGAAGGTCCTCGGGCTCAACGGTTGGGATTGTCGCTTCGAATCCCACGTTCGAGAACGTGACCGTGGTGTTGGTCAACAGCCTGACGGATTGCCATTTCTGTCCACCTTGAAGAAGAGGAGAAACAGTCTTTCCCTTGGCTGTGATGCTGAACGTTTCGACGCGGAAGCTGTTTCCCAGTTGGTTCGAGAAGCTGTACGGCCCGTCACCGAAAGGATGGTTCAGCCCGTCGAAATGCTCGGTGTACTTCACCTCGATCTGGGTGGGGCCGTCGAGAGCGGAGACCTCAAACACCGGAAATCCCGCTCGCTCGGCTCCATAGTCGAGGGTGGCTATCGGGATATCCGGTGTGAGGGTGAAAGGGGCAAAGGCTTGAGTTTTTACTTGGGCTTCCGCGCCGAGAGCAATGCCATGAGGTGTGAAGATGCTAATCGCAGGAGAGAAGAGTTAGCAAGTGGACAGAATGGGATATTGAGTTGAACTCACTGAGCTTCGGATGACTGGTTGGTTCCTGCAGCTGGTGCACCTTCGGCTGCAGCTGCAGCTAAAAGCAGCAGGAAAGGCAGTACCATAATTCCGATTTCGTTCCGAAAGGCTGAGGCCCAATGCAACGCAGCGAAAGCCGAGGTAAATCGAAATCCAATCTGCTCAGTGGTTGGGCAGAATACCAACAGCACGGTTCCGGAGTGAAAGAGTAAACAAAGTAAACAATCTGAAGATTACACAGCCAAATCGAACAGCTCAAAGTCTTTAAGCATGAATCCCTCGGGAAATTTGACACCGAGAGGTCCAAACATCGCTCGTCTCGTCCTCCATTACGACGATATCGTTTGTCAATATTTCGATCGTCCCTGAGATCGCGTCTTCTCCCCCCACAATCCGATTGGACCGCGCAAGCAACTAACCCAATCCTGCGCGTGTGTGGGAATTTTTTCGCAAACAATACGACCCTTTCGCGTCGTAGTTTGCGGGGAAGTTTGCGGGGGAGTTACCATGTGGTCGTATCCCGAGTGCATGAGTCGCTTGGCCGGTAGTTCGAGTCGGTGAGGTGTCATTGTCACCCGGACCGAGTCAGATGCCGAACCGAACCGACTCAGTCACGACGTTATTGTTGAGCCTCAACTGACAATATGGACTTCGAAAGAGATATACAGCTAGTGAGCTAATTAGCTGGTGTTCATTAATGCGAATATCTCGGCTGGAATTACGATTGAAGTATGGCAGGGCTATCAAGAATAAAAAGACAACTTTATACCAAATTCAATAATGAGTTGAGTATCAGGATGTATGTCAAATCATTTGCTCACCATACCTGCGAGAAATGTTCATAGAGCGCACATGAACGTTTTGTCCGGGATTCTCACATGCGTGATAATCGTTCATCAT